AGAGTGGTGTTATGTGTGGTTGCACTAGATTGTGTTGTGTTTATTTCTTGTGTGGTTTGAGTAGTGTTTTGTTGTGTAGAAATTGGTTGAGTTGTTATAATTGATGTTGAAAATGACGTAGACGTTAGTTCCTTGAGAGGAGACCTAAACATTAACGTCATTAAAACTGTTACATTTGATTTTGATGGTAAAATTGGAATGACAAATGTCGCATTTTTCCCGTCAGCTGATGTCAGTGTGTCAGTACTCATGGGTTGAAGTGTCACAGAGAAAGTCAAAGATTTTCCTGTTGTTGTCGGCGGTACAGTTTTTCTGAACCTTAGTGCAACTGTTTGACTTTGTGTTGTTGGTATCGAGCCGGATGTAGAGGTTGTGTAGTTCAACGTACTGACGTATTGGGAGCCATTCGTGGATGTTGTTGATGAGAATTCAAGTACTGAATCGGTTGTCGTATTTTCTGAAGCTGTAACGACATATATAGAAGTGAACAATTGAGAAGTTGCATTACAATATGTTAGTCGGTTAGTAGAACATTACATTGTGTACTGATAAAAAAACAAATGGTAGCTGCAGTGAGGTTAATGTAATTAGTAATAAAACAGATAGTATTAGTTACCTCACTTGTGAGGTAACTAATACTATCTGTTTTATTACTAATTACATTGTGTACTATGCACTGCTCCAGATGTATTAATCAGTTTAATTAATTTATTCGTTGGCTTAGGGGATGCAATAAGGCTCAACCAAAGAAGGTAGGGCCTACATTTAAAACATCTTTCAATAAACAAAGCATTATTGTTTTTGTTGCAAAACAAATTTTACAATTACTGATTATCTGACCACTCCTGCTATCCTATATCCTACATCTATCACAAAAAAATCAGCCACCGAAAAATGGCGGTATAAAACAAAACACAAAACACTAATATTAATTTAAAATTAAATTAAAAGACCACGCAATCACATTTATCACTGCTGGTTTATTTTTTATAGGCGACCTTAACAGTTTAACGTTACCGGTTCAAAGCTGCTATTCTTGAGAACAATTATGTAGTTTATCTGTTTCTGAGATATAAGTATGGCAAGGTATATTGTAATCAGCCATATGCCCAGCCGTCTTTATCTACTGTAATGTGATTCATGTCCCCTTCAGAACTGAGTAAACCTACGACGTAATTAATTATGTTGTAATCAATGAATCCACTTACCAACACCAGGGGCACAGAAGATCGCTAGCAGGGCTGATATGATCAGGGACAGGCTGAAGGCACGAACGATAAAACTACTCATTGCTGTAGGCTGAAAATATGAAAGTGGCGTAGCAACGTTTAGGCGAATACATATACTGACCTTACAATTTGTTTCAAATCAGTTTAAGACCAGCCCATGAGCCTCTGTACGAATTGTCCACTGTTGAGTGAAGAGGAAGCGGTGTTGTAATGCGAATAATGTTTAGTTCAGATATGTCGATAATACTTCCGTGTTATGTGACCGTTGATTTCTAAGAATGTGTGTAATCTCCCCCTCCCCCTGTTGTGTCACCATTTGTGGAATCCATCCCCCCCCTGTTGTGTCACCATTTCTGGACCCCCCCCCCCTCTTGATTTTTAAAGATGTGTGTAATCTCTCCCCTGATATGTCACCATAAATGTCCTATTCCCAATGTAGCCAGCCATGCGGAACAAACTCTAAAAACATGTTTCTAGTGTCACCTGTCCCTAAGACTTAAGTTTTAGTTTAGTTAAAAAAAAAGTTAAACAAAAAGAAATCTAGGTTACTGTATACAATAAACTAAAAATTTTCGTCCAATTCATACAACTAACATATAACATGAAATATTCATCGATAGCGCACTTAGTATTTTATAGTTATTGAAGCAAAAAACTAACTTGTATTTTCATAATATTGTTTTTTCATCAAGACCAAATATTTATTTTAAGGTTGATTAAAATATTCCATTTGTTTATCTCATTTCAATGTTGTTAATACATTTTAAATCTAAGTAGAACACATTTTCACTGAAATACTGGAAAAACAAGAGCCGGCAATCAACCGGGTTTACAGTCTACAAGTGTCGGCAATCAACAGGGTTAACAGTCTACAAAAGCCGGCAATCAACCGGGTTTACAGTCTACAAAAGCCGGCAATCAACCGGGTTTACAGGCTACAAGTGCCGGCAATCAACCGGGTTTACAGTCTACAAGAGCCGGCAATCAACCGGATTTACAGTCTACAAAAGCCGGCAATCAACCGGGTTTACAGGCTACAAGTGCCGGAAATCAACCGGGTTTACAGTCTACAAGAGCCGGCAATCAACCGGGTTTACAGTCTACAAGAGCCGGCAATCAACCGGGTTTACAGTCTACAAGAGCCGGCAATCAACCGGGTTTACAGGATACAACAAATTTCCCTTTTACTTAGTGGCATTTGTGAAGAAGAGATCATTTTAAAGCTGAATGACAGTGTCGTTTTATATGTCATAGCATGTACGTTTTAATTTTACAATAGTTTGTGTGACATGCAGCTACTTAAGGAGTTTAAACTTACCAATATGACAGATAAAAAGTGAAAGCCGATTTATCCGACAAATGTTAATCAGTGGGTGAACTATGCTGCCTCTAGCTCTGCAATCCTAGGGCTTTGTCCGCAGTCAAGCTTAGCTAAAATATGTACATTCAGTTACTCCAATATTTTAAAGCACACAATTTGTTTGTGTTATTTGCTTGTGGGGGAGGGGACTTGTAGTTTCTTTATTGGTCTGAAAACTATCAGCAATACAAATAAACCGGAAGTGATCTCCCCTATATTTTCTCGAATATTCTTGTATAACACTACGGGGGATGGCACCTCGGGATACAGACATGATATTTAATTACTTAAACTTTTTAAAATAGAATAGAAAAAAGAATTGCGCACCATGTGAACGCCAAACAAAATGTGTATAATAGTGCGGAATATTATTAAATTTTATAAATTCACATGTGTTTTTGAAAAATCAAAAATTACTACTTCCGATCAACGAAAATAACTCAAAATTTGAAAGAAAGCAGATAATTAGATATTTCACTTATATGTGAAATTTCATTTATCTGTCTAAAATAGTACTCAAGTTAAAGGCTTTTGAAAAATTGAAGGTAGAAAAAGTTCCCCTTCCGGTTATCGGAAATCGCTTAAAAATGATACAGAACTACTAATTCGATGTAACACTTGTATATGAAATTTCATCAACATAGCTGTAATGATACCTGGAGTTATTGTGTTCACAGACACACATACACACACAGACATACAGACAAGATTGCAAAACTAAATTTTTCCGACTCAGGGAGGTGAAAAACGTCGAGATTTGCAAAAATCTATTTTTTTTACATGATTACAATACTTTATCTATACTTTGTATACGAAAAAGTAAATAAATGTATAATTATCGTTAAGGAACATTACACTATTAAATGTAATACATATACATACTTACTTTATAAGAATCACATACAGCAGAAGTAAACAGGGTCTTAGTGTTAAATATTATGAAACAAAAACTTATTGCAAAAAACTGAAGAAATTACTTCATTGGAAGTCTAGTCATAAAAACTAAACTGATTTGGTTATCCTTCCCGTTTCACAGAAATGTATTTCAAAACAAACATTTTAACGTTTTTATTTCCTCTATAAATTCAGTTGAATTTCCTTGTAACGTTTTCTATTAGTCCTAATGATTATTGCGCTGTGAATAAATTCTTAGCAGCGAACTGAAAAGCACATCCGATAAACTTAAGTATATAAGTATTTCTTTTACAATATTCAAATTGGATGTATGAAATCTGACACATTACGTGACCTCAACTTAATTACTCATCATTAACCGTACGCTGGTTGATGTATAGTGTGAGTATTGTCTGGCTAGTTATTGCAGTATTTCACCAGACAAATCATTTACCCGTAGCATTCAGTCTGTAGTGGATTGTGGCGTAATCCCATTGAGAAAGTTATTTTCATTATAGAACTGACGTCAGTATTGCTACAATAGCTGCTGTTGGAAAATGCAAACATTTTACACATCTGAACTGTGGTGATGTGACGTGTATGAAAGGTATGTATGAGGGACGGATTACTGCGTGTGTGTGTACGGTAGTTGTGCGCGAGGCCGGGTGTGTTGTCGTGTATGTTGTTGTACGGAGTGAACGAAGGTAACAAGGGAAGCGACTGGTCGAGTGACAGCGGGCCTGTTATGAGCGGTAGGAAGGAGGTGTGTACGGAGGAATGCGGAGGGCAGTTGGAGGTGTCAGTTTGATGCACCGGTTGGTTGTGAGGAGGACAAAACAAAGAGATATTAGCCCAACTTGTATTACCCTAACTTGAAAAAGTTTGTAGTTCGTATACTTTGTCGCACGAGATTCCTGTCGCCCTAACATTAAGAACTTGCTGTTGTCTGTAAAATTTTGGTCATGGACGGCTGCTTTTCACGGGGAAGATAATCGTCTTTCGTAAAGCAAAGTGTCGACTTTATAAATTAGGAATCACTAAAAAGTATAAAATAAAACAAATATAAAAAAAACTTTATAGCAACCACCTTTTAAATGCACTGGAAATAAGATGACGAAGCGTATTTGCTTGCTTTAGTAAAAGCTTTGATTGCTCATGAAATCTTTAACATATTTTAGCGCCAAAAGCTTTTATTAAAGAAAGCAAACACGCTTTATTATCGTATTTTCAGTGCATTTTAAAAGTTAGTTGTTATACAATTTTTTTGTATATTTGTTTTATTATCAAATAGATAAATAATCAAAATTTTATTTTCAATGTGTTTCAGATAATTTCTTAGTATTGTAATCTGGATGTTTTATATAAGTATTAAAAACAAAAACCACAACTTTAATTTTTACATTTGGGTATCACATTTCACTGTTAATATATTTTAAATCTGAGTGGAACACATTTTCACTGGAACACTGAAGGAAACAATTGCCGGCCATCAACCGGGTTTATTCATGAAGAAGTAATCATTTAAAGCTTAAATTTATTTCCGACAAAATAAATAAATAGGCTATAGGCCTATAAATAAAACACTTAACACTCGACTTCCTCAATGGTTTTTAATTTCTTGTTACAATGTTTGTATGTAGTTTACAACTACCCAGACAATCACCAAAAAATTCTTCATTTACAAATGATTTGATGGACAGTTGGTTTAGCTAGTACATTTTGTTTAATTGAAAAAAAAAAATTCTAATTTTGCTTAAGAATGCTCACACAGGTTGTTGTTTGTCACAACCAAAATGCTAGATCAGGGATGTTAAAATCGTACTAGGTCACAACATGAATCTGTAAAGTACTAGATCAGGGATGTTAAAGTCAAGCTAGATCACAACGTGAATCTGTACCGAAGTGTTAGATCAGGGATGTAAAAGTCGTTTTAAGTCACATAGTGAATCTGTACCAAAATGCTATTTTAACGATGTTAAAGTCATGCTAGATCACATCGTGAATGTGTTCCAAAGTGCTAGATCAGGGATGTTAAAGTCATGCTGATCGACATCACTGTTCATGGCGAAACGTTCATAGGCACGCTAGAACTTGATGCTTAACCTGAGACACTGCAACTAGTGAACTAATCAGAACATCGTTGAGGTGAGATAGGCGCCCGCCTGGACAGATCCACAGAACAACAGAAGATTCGACTTTAGGGAACACGGGTTGACTACAGCAAGAAGGTGTCTCCTTTTTGTGTAGATTCCTTCAAAAGCAATACAAAATGTGTATTAATATTAGGTCGCTTAAGCATAAAGATAATGGTTATTTTCTTAAAAGGAATAGGCCTAAATAGTTTTTTTTAAGCAAAAAATGTCGTCGTTTTTACTACGTCATTACAACTACTTTCTTACATATGTCGACATTTCAAAAGCCACATCCTACAACAAAACCCATATGTCGACATTTCAAAAGCCACATCCTACAACAAAGCCCATATGTCGACATTTCAAAAGCCACATCCTACAACAAAACCCATATGTCGACATTTCAATAGCGAACATCCTACAAAAAATCCTTAATTCACTTACTTACTTGCACATTGTTAGACTGAACATAATCAGTGGGCGTGTCCTCATGAAAACTCTGACGATTCATGAAAATATATGAAACTTCCAGCTCCTCTTCCAATGTATCTGCTTCAGCCCAGCTTCCACTACTGCTCTCACGCCTGCTCTTACGGCTTCCCTTCTTACTTTTTGATAATGCTCGTGTTTCATAGAAACTTCGAAACCGGAAGTTGTAGTTGCTGGTTGGAGTTGTAACAATGTTATCTTGTTGGTCCGGATCTGATCAATTCACGCAATCATATCATTAGGTGTGCGAGGGTAAATAAAGAAAATTTATTATTTTTATAAAAATAAATAACAAACAAAGCTTTCTTGCTTACCAATGCACTCATTAGAATTACTTTGAGAATGTATTTCTATAATCTTTCTTGTCTATAGGATTATAAAAATATTACAAATTAATATTTAGTAAAACAAGTACGAAATGATGTACCATACTACTTTGTAAGAAAACGTGCAATGTTTTTTAATGTTACATAATGTTTAGATAAAAAACTAAATATTTTTAACTCTTAAAAACTTGTGAAACTTTTACTATCAATGATAGCTGGTCTAAGTAAAGCATACAATAAATTAATAACATATTAACACGCTTAAGTGATACTTAATTATGAGTTTTAAGACATAACAATGGTAAGAAATCCTACTTGTTTGTTACTTGGTTTATTTAAACAGTCAAAACCAAGTTTGTGTTTCAGAGCTTTGAGGCCTTCTCTCACCTATTGGGGTTGTAAAATATCAGTATGTTTTATGAAACTAGATATCAACCCAATCAAAATGGTGATTAAATGAAAGTTATGTTAAAAAAATGATTAATTTCTTAAATGATTATTTTAAAGTGAAAAAAAAATTGATTTCTTTTTACCTGCTTTAGAAGAAGACATTGGAAAATAAAGACAAACAAACCCTGAAATATTTTGGAGACCGTTGATATAAATACGTCATTTCAAAATTACAACTGCTAACTTTGTAGTTTTCTTGATATAGGGTGTGACAAATATGCTGCAAAATGTGTGTTCTTATTTTGAAATAAAAGACAATTAAAGTCATGTAGCTAGCTACAGAGAATAGTTGGCAACACAATATTAAGACATGAGTTTCACTTTTAACACATGGCTAACATACTTGCAACATTGTATGTTACTGTGAACAGAGGAAGAAGAAGGCACGGACATCTCTGGATGGATGCCATCAGGGACTGGACGGGCCCGCCAGTCTTAGAACTAATCAGACAGTCAGCGCACCGAGATGGATGGCGGAACATTGTTAGGTCAACTGTAGTGCCCCATTAACCCCAAAAAGGTTTAAGGGATGATGGTGATGATGAACACACTAGCAAAGAAATAGTAGTAGTAGCAATCACACCTTGTTAGATTACAGTTTCGCTTTTAAATGAAAGGAAACCAACCTGCAGTGAATTGAAGATGGCGAATAAATATTCAAAGACGATGGTTTCATTGTTAACAGACAGAACACCAAACACCCAGGTCATGCCGAATATAGGGGAGAGAACACACAAAGACCTTAGCACGGACCTGAATGGATAAGCCATGAATTAAGTAATGACAAATTAAGTAAAAAATGTATGTGTGTGTATAAATTTACATTTTCTTACCTCAGGTTTAATCTTTCCTCGTCTAATTTGTGGTTTAATCGTCATTTGAAATTTGACTTAATTATAACGGTGTGATCTCGTGTATATCGACATGAATGTGTGGTCACTAAGTTGATATGTTAAGCGCTTGCTTTAATCATGGCGAACCCGTCCCTTATGATACACCACCTTCATGTATTGATTACTTACTTTGCTTTAAGCAGGGCCGATTTGTCCCTCATAACATGAGATGACTGTATCACTCTAATCACCTTCACCAGTATTACTAAATTTACCTACATCAAAACATTGAAATGCATGTCATATTTCATCCACACAAGTATAATTTATAGTTCTAAAGCACATTGTAATCAATATAATCATTTTGAGATTAGCTTATTGTAGAAATAAAAAAAAATATAAATTTTCTAGCATCAAGCATGCACTGAAAATAAAACTAATTTACTGTCATTGATAAAAGCTTTGATCGCTTATGAGATATATTTTAGCAACAAAAGCTTTTATTTTCAGCCTATTTAAAAGCTTGTTGGTATATAGTTTTTTATATTTGTTTTATTTTCTACATTTTCGTGATTCCTAATTCATCAAGTCGAATGACTAAACATATTTACTTTCAAAAACCATAAAGAAACCATCAGTAGTTCGCGGTATCCAAAGACGATTATCTGCCCCGTGAGATAAGCTGTGCGAGTCCATATTTTACAGGCGACAGCAAGTTGTAAGCTTTGTAAACTTTGTAAACACCCTCCCCCTGTTTCAAATAGCCTAAATTAGATTGACCATATCTTTGTAAACATTCGGCCAGAACCACAACTCAATAGACTGGTTGGTTGAGAGCGTCTAGCTAGTTATCTCCCCTTCTGTTAAGGAATATATTAATCTATCGAGTGATTTATTTTTGTCATCTCCCTTTAATTTCGAAACATTTAAATTAATATTTATGAACTTTAAAAATCTAATCAATTTTAAAAATAGATAGACTTGATTATCATCGATGTGGACATATTTGGAACGTTTGGATGAAATCTCTGAATTAGAAGTGGGTCAATATTGAGTTACAATAATAACCACAAACCCACAAACTAAATAACAGACGTTGCGAACTAAATGAAAGCTTGTAATCACACATATGTATATATATATATATATATATATATATATATATATATATATATATATATATATATATATATATATATATATATATATATATATATATATATATACATATATATATATATATATATATATATATGTTGTTACAAGGTTAGAAATTTTAAGCTATAAAATATGTGTGAAGTTTAAAATAACTTACTCCAATAACAAACAGCACAGGTCCAATGAAAGCCCAGATGAGACCATTATCTATCATCAACCAACAGCTTTTTTGATTCAGTAAAAACAGTCAAATTATTGATTAAAAGCAATATGAGCAACACACGATTAATAAAACCAATCACATGGTATTTATAATAATGAACATCTCTTTAATGTGTTTGACACTGGAATGAGTTTCTATTTAAAATACTTTATATATCTTAAACACCAAACGCATGTTTTGGTTGCTATTCTTGGCATATTTTTATGTCAAAAATGTTACTATACTTTTCTTAATTATTTATCATTAACATAAATTACGTTCACTGATATTTCTAGTAGTCTGTTGTGTAAGGTGAAAGAAAAAAATCAAGCATAACCATAGTATGTGCTCACTTACTTTTCCCTGTTACCATACCCTTGTGTTCTTGTGACACCCAGCGATACGCCAACGATGATCAGAGGCACGCCTAAAATTGTACACCACATAACATGAAGATATTTTTATTGTTTTATTTTAACTTTATGTTGCATTAACACCAGTTGATTAGATGGCGACGATTATGCAAAGCAAGAGTATCTTAGTGATCTTAGTATCTTAGATTAATCCGAATGTACATTTTAATCAGCGCTATTTTGAGAATTTCAATGTAAATGAAGACGTTTAAACGTGAAAGCTTACCGTAAGCAATTATTATTAAAAGAGTTATGATTGTCCTTGATCTCCCTCTGATACTAAAAACAGCTGCTACTGAGGTGAATACAAGGATTCCCTCCCCTAGCATGGAGAAGAAGACTGATAGGAAAAAGAAATGTAGAAGTGCCGCCACTACTGTACAGGCTACCTGTAGATGAATACAAGTCTCAAGTAATGTGTGGAAGATATTCAAATGGCTGGGAAATGAGAGTCTAAAATAAGGACGAAAATTATTTTCACAATTAACACATTAGAAGTTAAATCAAAGTTCAACAACGTACACCAAAGTCCAATACACTAATGTAAGCACACTGACTGGGATCCTAGTGAACATGTTGTAGTGATACACATTTAGTAAACATGTTGTAGTGATACACATTTAGTAAACATGTTGTAGTGATACACATTTAGTAAACATGTTGTAGTGATACATCTTTAATAAACATGTTTTACTGATGCATATTAGGTAAACATGATGTAGTGATACTCATTTAGAAAACATGTTGTAGTGATACTCATTAAGAAAACATGTTGTAGTGATGCACATTTAGTAAACATGTTGTAGTGATACACATTTAGTAAACATGTTGTAGTGATACACATTTAGTAAACATGTTGTAGTGATACACATTTAGAAAACATGTTGTAGTGATGCACATTTAGTAAACATGTTGTAGTGATACACTTTTAGTAAACATGTTGTGGTGATACACATTTAGTAAACATGTTGTCTAAAGTCAACGACTAATTCCCCGAAAGACGCTGGCCCGAATCCCCTTTGCCCGAATGCCGTTCTATTGAGTGAAGATGTGCACGTTTACGACAAACGCCCGAAAGTCCCATTTAAAAATGCCTTTTTCTCGAACAATACTTATCTAGTTGGAGTCTTAAGTGGAAGGTGTAGTAGGATAATATAGCTTATGGCTGTTAACACAGAAGTCGTGAGTTTGGATCCCTGGTAGATTACTAATATTAGGGAAACTTAGGAGTGCTAACCACACGATCCCACTGTATGCATAGATCATTTACATATGAACTCTTCTTTATCTAGTCCATATTTAAAAATCAGTTTTAAACATTCAAATATATAAGTTTATTTGTCAGTTTGGCCGTTTATCGCATTTGGACAAACTTTTAATTAGAAAACTGCCTTCCGGCAAACTTTCATTCAGAAAGCTACTTTCGGACTAACGGCTTTCGTGCTAATGTTCTTTGTGTTTGCCTTTAACAACACCTTGCATCAATTATATATTTGAATTAGGAGCCTAATTCTTACCAAGTCTTCTGTTCTATCGACACCAGCCAGAAAGATGATGTAACTCACGATAAGGCACAGGCAGAGATTGATATGGAGCACTGAATGGTCATGGTTTAAAAATCTGAAAACGTACATAAATTCATTTTTAAGAATAACCTTCTTAAACAAAGTAGTGCGAGGCATTAGCTACAGTAAACTAGTGGGTGTTTATAGAAAAAAGCTAGGGGAAACTAGTAGCTAGAAAGCGGCTGTCGAACTCTCGTCAAATTTTAAAGAAATAATGCACAGTATGATACGCTAAAATAGCGAGTCGTTGCTTAGCAACAGAAACAACGACCACATGACGTTAAGCTCAACGAACTTACTTCCACACTAAAATGTACACCACGAGCGTCAACAGGAGACAGAACAGAGAGATGCTGATTCCAATAATCGATATGATGTTTAAAGCTAAAAGGTCGCTTTTCTGGAAAATAAGTTAGACCTTTATACGCTTTTTTTTAGTAAAATAAAACATATTTATAAAAATGTCAACAAACATATTAGAAACAAAAATTATATTATTTATAAATAAATCTGTCAACCGCTATATTTATTTTATGTGCGCAGTAATAAAACATTAAAGTAATAATTTAGTAGAAAGAAAAGTTGTAACTTTAGATAAAAGTAGTGGTATCAGATTTGTATACACAATTTAAATAGGCTATCGGTACCCGTTTCACGTGAATTATAGGGCTATATATTTTAAAATGTACTTGTTTGCGAAAATAATTTATGAAATAGTTATTGGTCAAAACGCAATGTGCTTTACTACACGCTGAACGATATTAGTGACAAAGCAAAGAAATAACTAGTTAGCTAAAAATCCGACACATTTAACATAACACAGGCACACACTGATTAAGTGACTAAAATGATTCCGTTAAAAATCTGGCTATTCAATGGTAATTTTGTTGTTTTTAAGTAATTTGTATTAGTTTGACTGATAAAATTGTATACATTTCATAGCGTACGTCTTGATGAGTAGATCTATAGATCTAGATCTAAATCAAATTTGAATGAAGTAGTCCCTTTCTATATAGTCTAAAATCGGAAGAATCACATATAAAATAAAATAAAAAATTAATTATGACTAGGTGTATCTCGATCCCACACCACCTGCGTGGTATTAAGTACATTATCATCTCAGCTATTTAGGTACCTTATAATGAAAGACGTATTTAAAAAGCTAAACTTACGCTATAATGCCTATTCTTTCAAATTAATTTTTTTATCACAAATTAGCCAGTTTCATAGCTAAACAAACAAAGATTTGTATAACATAATTAAGGCCTGAAATAGTTTAATATAAAAATTTATTTCTGAAATAGATTCTAGAGTAGATAGAGTCTAAATCTAGATTTTAGCGACTTAGCGTCTACGTCTAGTTTTTGCGTAGATTTAGATCTAGATCTAGTCTAGATCTAGAATCTCTAGATCTAGAATCCAAATAGATAAAATAAATTTTATAAGTTTAGGCCGGAAAAATTGTATTGTATACATTTCATACCGTACGTAGATCTAAATTAAATTTGAATGAAATAGTTCATTTCTTTTTATTCTAAACTCGACAGATGACGTCATTAGTTAATGTATAAACATTAGTGACGTCACTGTTTCATGGGTTCTTTTTCACAACTACAAACACTTTTCCTGCTGCATAATTAAAACTGTTTTTCTACATTCGAATATGCCTTTATTATTTTTTTATTTTTCTTCTTTAAATAAAATGTTGGTTATACATTAAAAACATCTACCATATTATTTTAAACAAAGGTCCGTATCAAGTTCTCCATATATCGCTGAAGATTCTGATGTGATACCCTGCGAAAATATTTTGCGGACAGAGAGAGAGAGAGAGAGAAGTGCGCACATGGGTTTTTATATATTAGGATATATATATATATATATATATATATATATATATATATATATATATATATATATATATATATACATGTTTATATTTGTAATATAAATACTACATTTAAACAACTCACCGACAAGCCGGATCTGGAGAAACGTGCCAACACAGCGAAGTTGGTCAGGTGACTACACTCACACTGTGTGTAGTTACTGGTGTCGTTAACGACTTTACAACCTTTGGAGGCCCACACACCTTCCCTGGGGAGTTCAATAGTCAGATATTTAGAGATTCTTCTCTCAACACAATGTATGTATCGGATTGGTCATAGAATTAGAGTAATTTGGAAATTAAAATTCTGTGTGTTTTCTAAGATCCATGAAGTTGCTTTTAGATCCAAATATTTACTTCACGGATGTATTCAGGAATCCACAGGAGGGACTTTGAAATGATTCGTTCTGAAAAAAAAAATGTTTGTCCGAATATTTTTTTTAATTTGGAATTTATACATAATTTAGAACAATAATTAGTAATAAAGTACCATTCAAAATTAAATAAACATTTGGCTCAAAATTAAGACTGTGTGTGTGTATAAGGTGTTGCATGTGTTGTGAATTACTGTGTATTATTAGGTAAACGCTGTGTACGACTTGCTCTACTGCGTGAATTCGGGTTTCCTGACATCATTAATATTAATAATACCGGTTGTACTGTTTTGCTCTATATCACTCTTCAGGTCAACCTACAATATGTACCCGACACTCACACTCCCATTACGAGTTCTAATTTGTTTTTTCAAATTGCCTAAACCTGTTCTGTTGTTGGGTTTTTCAGTCTAGGGGTATTCAAGGACAACACAAAGTATAGTGTAGGATACATCAGTTGATATAACACTAAGGATAATACTAAAAAATGTTAAGAAGAAATAATAAAAGGCTTGCTAAACAAATTACGATACACAATGCTTAACACACTCCACGTCCTCCTCCAAAACCACACGCCAACCAACCGCCTGAAAACCTAGTACCCCCTATGTCACTCGTAAACAGACAATCTTCACGTGAACACATCTTGCTCCATGTAAACACACTCAACCAAGGGCTACAAATATATACGAAAAAAAAGAGGGTACCTGTCTTACGAGCCCACAACATACACAATCAGGGGACGGTATATGTAAGGGACAACAGTGTTTTGACATATAAATGATACACAAACCATTATCTGAAGTACACTGGTAAATAAATGTACAGTTCAGTACTTGATCATTTACCGATACGGTTTTTGAGAAAAACATTTTTACAGGAGGTTCCACTGTGGTCAGTGTCACGTTGACTTTTAATTGGATGATATTTGACACGATATGGCTGTCACTCAGGGCGGACCCTTGGGGGTATCTGATGAACAACACAATCAACAAATACATAAAGTAAACATAGCAACTAAATACATATTTTGGGTTTATTGCTTTTCTGAGGCATACAATTCTGATATAATTTCAAATGAAAAAAAAATATAAATATGATGACTTGGATATTGAAATACATTGTTTGTTTTCTGTGGAGTAATATTATATGTTTGTTTACTTTTCTTGTATTGATGGTAAGACTCGAATACTCCCTTCTGACACACGGAAGATGAGCACACAGAACTTGATTTCATCTGCGGAAATAGAATAGCATTATAATCACATTATACACACAACGTTTGACAACATTGTTGATGTTAAATTCGTGCTCCCCATACTGACCAAAGAACAAAAAAATACAACACAGGATTAAAAATTTTCTAAGTCTTTTATTCCTATCTTAAATTTCCATCTGTTTGTCTTGTACTCGCTCGTCCTAAGAACTTCCCCTCCACTACCCTCCACACGTCTTGTGTATCGATATTCGATCTTGGGGTAACGATACCCACCACACTGGGTTAAACACCAATTACAAATCCCTATCCCCGGTGTTCTAATCGTTCTAAGACAACCTTTGAAAGACCCGTAACAAACATGAACCCATTATACACAAATACATAGTTTAACTTCTTTAACAAAGAAAGTTACAAATTTAATAAATCATACTCAAGAAGTCAGTTATATCTTTCGTTAAAAATAATCATTGTTCTGAAACTATATAATACACAATAATTCATAGTATGATATATCTGAATACTAATTTGCTGAAGACGTTACTCGTAGCTTACACAATATAAGCTGGAACACTGACCTGATGTCTCTGGGTAGTTGTCTTTTGAAAAGGAGATTTGTGTTTCACTGTCAGACATCGAATCAATGGAGGTGTTCGGTAAGAGGAAAGTCTTCGAGAAGGTGATGTCTTCACGTGTGGAGTTACATTCTACAGCTACACACGGGATTAAGTAATTGTGTGAGTTACATCAGTTTGACGCAATTTCAAGTAATATAGTGAGTAACATCAGCAATATTTGTGGTCAAGTACTTGTGTGAGTAACAGCAGCAATATATGTGGTCAAGTATTTGTGTGAGTAACATCAGCAATATATGTGGTCAAGTATTTGTGTAACATCAGCAATATTTGTGGTCAAGTATTTGTGTGAGTAACATCAGCAATATTTGTGGTCAAGTATTTTTGTGAGTAACATAAGCAATATATGTGGTCAAGTATTTATGTGAGTAACATCAGCAATATATGTGGTCAAGTATTTTTGTGAGTAACATCAGCAATATATGTGGTCAAGTATTTTTGTGAGTAACATCAGCAATATATGTGGTCAAGTATTTGTGTGAGTAACATCAGCAATATATGTGATCAAGTATTTGTGTAACATCAGAAATATATGTGGGCAAGTATTTGTGTGAGTAACATAAATGTTTTACTTTGTTTTAGGTAATATCTTAAGCAAGTGTCATTTTTAAAAAAAATCTCAATATAAATAACCTGCATGTATCATTAATTGGCTGTAACGTCGATATCACCATTTAATATTTACGTATATATCATCATTTGGTATTTACGTCAATATTATTTGCTATATACGTGTATATATACATAGTATTTATGTCAATATATTAGTGAAACGCAATATATTCGAAATATATCATTTTGTCGGATAATTTCTTAATACATATAAGACAAAAACTACACACAATAAAAATTATCTCTATTATTAATGTCTATCAACGGCTGCACTAAACCCATACAAGTAACTTTTGTTATTAGAACCAGCTGTTCACCTAAATTATCCTTGTCCAGCGAAACACTGCCATTGATGTTGTTTGGCGAAGTGATCTTATCCACAGCCATAAGTAGTGTTTGCCCCGTTTGGTGTTCCACGGATAACAAAACATCCGTGAGATTTAGTAGAATCTGAAATAAAATAAAGCGGGAGTAGTCTCCCTTAAACTTTCTCGTATATACCTCCAAAACTATAAATGGGATGACACAATAGAAATAAAGACGTACAATATAACATCAGTGTATAAGTGAGCGGGACATTATTGCTTTATACAGGATACGATTGCTTTTAAAAATGTTAATAAATATATTATTTTCCTTCATATTACTGTTATATTGATTTCAGATTACCTAAATTATCGAAAAAGATGTTATATTTGACTAAATCTCAGAAGTTTGTAGGCCTATAGTTTATTTATTTATTTTACTTTACTTTGCCCAACGTGAGTCAGGTACCTATTAGAGATGAGCGGACTCAAGGACAACCTGTAATCCTGAGTCCCAACCGAGACCCTCGAGACCTTCGATCTAGCGGCTATCGCTCTACCACCTGATTACGCCGTCACATGGACATATTATATAACACAATCATTTGCAATATTTAGTCGACCACAACACCATAAACATTATATAAAATGTAAAAAACCTGCTAAATCCTCCAAACGATACATCTAATACATCCAACATAAGCTATTTGCGATTTATAAGATAATACAGTGCAAACTTTTGTTTACCTCAAAATAATAGGGTGTTAATTGGAGGTTCTCATTCTGCAAGATATCGCCTATCTGATCAATAATATGTGTGATAACCTCAGCATTAGCAGCCACAACATTCCTCTGTTCAGTTAACATATCTAATTTCTGTATCTGTCCTGTAGGAAGTAAAACCAAGTAAGTGTTACACAAAGAATTCATCTACAATTGCTTCTCTAATAGGGTTAAAAAAAATAGTAATTGATATTATAAGTATTTTATTGTACTTATGACGTATTTGTGTATAAGATAGGAGATTCTACATAAAAAATAAAGTCCTTACCATCCAGTCCTTTCGTACTTATTGTGCTTTCATTAGCATTTAGAAAACTTAGCTGACAAAGAAATTAAAATCATAATCATAACACATTTTAGTGACATATATAAATTGTACATGTTATTTATTTTAATAAGATTAAATATCGACTGCTTCTTATTCGATTTAAATTGTAATGTTTGCTGAGATTTCCTCCAGCACAATTAAGTTGACTACGATTTTATCCTGCTTTTTATTGGATTTTTTTGTTACCATTTCCATTGTTCATACTAGAACACATTACTGCTTTGATTCTGGAGTTTTCTCTCTCAGATAAACTGCTAATAACTGTTGTCGAGCCTCATCTGCCCGGCGATTCGAACTAAGGAAATTTTGGTTTAGCACCTAGGAGCTCTAACGGTCCGACCATGGCAACCGCTGAATGTATATTACGATAAGGTACAACGTTGCGCTCGAGATATATATATATATATATATATATATATATATATATATATATATATATATATATACATATATATATATATATATATATACATATATATATATATATATATATATACATATATATATATATATATATACATATATATATATATATATATATATATATATATATATATATATATATATATATATATATATATATATATATATATATATATATATATATATATATATATATATATATATATACTAGCGTACCCGTCCCCCGCGCGTTGCCGCGGGGTAGAAGTAAGTTTGACGAAATGTATTAGGATTTCAGCAACGCGTTACCAATTATATGTTCTAAGACGCGTGACCGTCTTTTCTAAAAGTGAGTTATTTAAATGTAAACATTGCCTGCGCTTAAATCATAAATATCGGGACACAGGTTTACCTACACTACCGCATGTAAACATTGAGTGTACATTAATCACTCACCGAAATAATGTTAGAACACACTTCGGTGACCGCCCATGTGTCAGAGACGCATAGGGGCGCTCTCAGGGCCCCACCCCCACGATTAGACTACCGCATAGGCGCGGCGTACGACCCCTGGCTCCTTAAACTAACAGGCGCCATCGTCCAAATAGCATCCTATTAATAATGATGCAGATTTCGTCATTCGCTAACAGGATTTTTTTCTTTAACACGTAAAAAAGTATTTAACGTGTTTTAAACATCAGTGTGACTGATGCAATATGCTAGCGTTACTAATGGTCTATTATTAGATGCTCGATCTCAATTTCTGACTGGCTTGTCTAATAGTAGATGCTTATTGCATCATTCGCAAAGTGACGAAACTCTACAGTAGGCTCCTCATATTCAAAAAGTTTGTTTTTTCATCTTTGGCAAGGTGACGAAACTGCACTGAAGGATTTCCTCGCGTTACAAAGTTATTTTTAGAAGCGTGTTGTAGTTTTACCGCTGAATATTATAGTACCCCTTTCTCGAAATGCGGGACGCTCGATTAACGGTTGCTAAGTGCCAACATAGTCACTCTAAAACTCTGGGCGCCAAACCGTGTATTGACGAAAGTTGTACCCTATATGGCGCCGCCCATAAGAAACGTTAGTTTTCTTTTTCGCAGAAATATTCTCGGGAGTATTCTCATCTACTCCCTAAAGTTTCATGGCACTCGGATGAACCGCATCCGAGTTTTATTTTTTATATACCGTATATAGAGAAAAAAAAATCGATTCCCCCCTTCCACCCGGAGGGCGCCGCCCTTGCAATATTAAACAATATTTATTTTTTTTGCAGAACCCTACTATTGAGTGATCTAAACATCTCCCCAAAGTTTCATGGTACAGGGATGAACGGTGTGAAACTGAAATAGACTTTTATATTTATAAACCGTATATAGAGAAAAAATCGCAGCCTCCCGTGGCGCCGCCCTTGCGAAATTTAAAAAGGATTTTTTTTTTACCGAACCCTTCTTTGAATTGTTCTAATTAACTCCCCCAAAGTCTCATGGCTATCGGATAACGGTGTCACACTAAAATCGACTTTTATTTTTATATACCGTATATAGAGAAAAATCGCACCCTCCCGTGGCGCCGTCCTTGCGAAATTAAAAATGATTTTTTTACAGAACCCTTCCCTAGAGTTTTATAATGAACTTCCCAAAGTCTCATGGCTATCGGGTGAACGCTGTCAAACCAAAATCTACTTTTATTTTTATATACCGTATATAGAGAAAAACAAATCGCGCCCTACCGGGGCGCCACCCCTGCGAATTTGAAATTTTTTTTTTCGCAGAAACTTCCCCAGGAATATTCTCAACAACTTCCCAAAGTGTCACGGCGATGTGATGAGAGGTGTAGTAATGCATAAAGGACAAACACACAGACACACAGATACACATACATTGCTTTTTATATATATAGATAATTTACTTGTTTATATTCCTATACTGATAATATATTAAAGAACCGTTTTAATCCAAAGGGTGTCTAGCAGACTTGTGAGAAACTAAAGCAAATATTGGTGATTAACAGACTCCAATGTGAGAGTTTGAGATGTCATATCTTCTGTCTACTGGCCATGTGTGTAGCTACTGTAGGTGAATTCAACTACCATGTGATGTTCTTATGCTATTCTACTGTGTGTCCAGCTGTGTGCGATCAAACGCAAAATTTTCAAAGGTTCCTAGCAATTAGTTTTTCTAATATATATATATATATATATATATATATATATATATATATATATATATATATATATATATATATATATATATATATATACATATACGCTTGTCTGAGGTTAGCAAACAACTTACTCAGCTTCATAGACCGCAAGTAATAGATCTATAATTACTATCAGCAAATTATAGATCTATAATAACCATCAGCAAATGATGGATCTATAATTACCATCAGCTAATGATGGATCTATAATTACCATCAACAAATGATAGATCTATAATTAACAACAGCAACTGATTAATTTATAATTACCAACGGTAAACAGTGAATCTATAATTACCATTTTCTCAAGTTGTTGCCTGATACAATCGTTGTAGAAATCTTGACACGCAGTAATATTCCGACAGCACGGAGTTACATCTTCATCTTAAAGTAGAAAACTCAAATTGTGGAGGCTCAAATTACGAATCATTCATTTAAAATACTTTAAGCCAAAGAATACCCAAAGAGTATACTTTGCTAGGACCTATATATAAATAAACCGGGAGTGATCTCCCCTAAACATTCTCGAATATTCTAATATAACACTACGTGGGATGGCAACTCGGAATATAGACATGATTTTTGTTTACTTTAACTTTTAAAAATAGAAGAAAAACTAGAAGAAAAAAAGAATTGCGCACCAAGCGAACGCCAAATAAAGATGTTCATAATAGTGCGCAATATTATTAGTACTTACAAATTTACATGCGTTTTCTGAGAAATCGGAAATAGCGTAAATTAGTACTTCCGGTCAACAGAAATTACACAAAATATGACAGAAGGTAGAGAATTAGATCTTTTACTTACATGTGAAATTTCATTTATCTATCTGAAATAGCACTCAAGTTATAGGCTTTTGAAAAATTCAAAGTAGAAAAAGTATCACTTCCGGTTATCGGAAATCGCTCAGAAGCTTATACGGATCTACGATTTTGAAATACTTATATATGAAATTTCATTACACTAGCTGTAATGGTACTCAAGTTATCGTGTTTACACACAGACAGACACACACACACACAGAAAGACACACAGACATACGGACAAGATTGCAAAAATTATGTTTATCCGTATCAGTGAGGTGTAAAACGTCGAGATTTGTAAAAATCTCGATTTTTTTTTTGCACAATTACAAGACTTTCTCTATACTTTGTATATACGAGAAAGTAAAAGCGAAAAAAAATAACATTACATTATACTGTAACGTACCTGTTTGGTTTTGTAAACACAGTTTTCCCATTTCTTGTCGTAAGCTCTCCAGGTTTACTAAAGTACATGGCCAGCCTGTACATAACATGTTTCTTCTTTAAAATCTTGGCTTAGATCTCAATAAACTAATGTACAAGTCTAATACGAGCAATGTGGAAATGTAATTCATAAATAAACACCCAATTTGGACAGACGTTTTAGAAAACTATGTATAAAAACAATAAAGGCAATATTTAAAACGTAATGAAAGGAATATAGAAAGATCCTTATTTCAGTATGAGAACGAAATGGGAAAAAATATATCAACATAGAAAATGAATGGTAGCAAAATAATAGCCGATGCTAAATGTAAGACAGAGAGTCATATCAAGACTCACCTGAGACGTCTCTGTATATGATGTTAACCAGAAGAGTGTCGTCTGCACTGGTCCAAATCTGAAGAAATTGAGAAGAGAAAGAATAGCGTCTGCAGGTACACAAGCACTTTTTTTCTTCAAAATGCCCACTTCCCATGTACAGATATAAAAATAAAGCGATATATACACACAGATAAGTATTTTATACAACGATGCACAATACGTGATTGCTTCCGTTACCAGATAGCGACACAGGCTAATGACTATTGTATGCAATATCCCAACATTTGTATACGACTTATAGATCATACTTGATAATGCTGAACTGAGTAATCCAGGAAAAACAACGTAATTTGTATACGACATATAGATAAAATTACATACTTTATATTGCTGAATTGAGTAATCTTGGGAAAACAAGGCTGAGTCGTTGTGCTCACCAAGTTTGTCATGTTCAGTTTCTGCTATCGATATCTTATAGGATCTGTTGCCTGTTATTGTAAACAGTACATTGTTATCAAATTATATAGCACTTAACGTCTGTAAACAATACCTTCTTATTAATGTTCTCAGACTTCTATTGTACGGCACTCCCGCACGTAGACAGAAGATAAAACATCCAAACTTACTTTGAAGATGTATTGTGTTGTTGTATGAGGTATTACTGACGTCACTGATGTCTGTGTACACCTGTATGTTGTTAACAATGACGTTTAAAGTGAAGTTTGTGGTGGCTGCTGAACTGGACACCAAGAAAGACACCTGATCATACATTGAAAAATTAATGTGTATAAAGCTAATATATAGGATTTGATTTAGTAGGAGCGTTTGCCTTTAACTTAATGAAATGTTCATATGGAATATGATGCACAACCTCGAAATTTTTTAAAATGTAAATTCTTCAGAAAACATTGACGTTGTCCTATAACTGTTTTGGTATTTTCATGCCGAGAGATACTGAATCTCCACACTTGCGCCACTCCTCTTCTTCTTTTTTTTTAGTTTTGGAAGGGATTCCTTTCAACACAATTAAGTACTCGTGTCAACTGGTTAAGCGCCATTGAGGCCATTGACTCCAATATTCAGCCTGCTTTTCTTTTTGAATTTGCTTCCATAGCCTTTGTCCAACCAAGAACAAACTACAAGGCAGCAGTTGTTTTGATTTTGGAGTTGTCTCTCCTAGAAGAATGGCAGTCCCCAGCTAACGAGCCTCATCTGCCCGAGACTTGTATGTTTAGCAGACATGAGCTTTACCGACTCGACCACGCCGATCCGACTAATTATTCTTCATTACAATGACGATTATTGGCATGGCAAATACCTGTCGATTTATGTATGTCATGCCTTGTAAACTGATGCATTTCATTTGGTGTACTTTTCAACTGATGTATGTCAGGAAATAAGTAAAATTTGAGTTCAGGAACATGTGAGTAAAGATAGCGACTGTATCATTGCAGCAACAGATTCAAAGATTCAGTTATGAAGTGTACCTTGTTAAACCCCAGCAGAGCTCCTGGGGCTAGACACGACTCTAGAACCACTGTATTCCCCGAGATGGTCAGTGTCACGTTAGTGGCTGGATCTGTGTACATTCTGTACACCTCAGTCACTGACCACTGGTCACTGGCGTTGGACCCAATCACCCTGCACGTGACGTCATCATTAGTCGTTAACACACCACATCCGTAATGGAGAATCGAAACATAGACTTCGTTATAGTTACATAATACACGCACTGAATCTGTAGAAATCAAGAAGTGTACAGTTATAATAAAAATATTTTAAAACCTTTATAATATTACCTTTTAATAAACCGAAAAATAAAACAATCTTGCTTTTTTAAGGAAAGCATTGGTCGTTAAAATCATTGGGCAACCAATGCTTTTATTAAAGTAAGAAGGTTATTTTATTTTCTAATTTAAGTGAATTAAAACGCTTATTATTATAATGGTTTATTTTAACTTTTTTTGCGACCTGTTTTAGTAAACCATCTTAACTAAGATGATGACACCATTCTTAATCCACGAATCGAAATCAATCGACTGTGACCCGCAGTTTATCTCCCTTTCTATTGAATGTAGTAATCTTTCAATTACATTTTATTGACTTATGTAAAGTCTAATAAGTTTTAAATATATATATCTTTGCATTATCATCGGAGACGATTGTATCTAAAAGTATGAACGAAATCGTAGCATTTGAACTAGGTGAAAGTCGAGTTTAAATGTTGCCTCAAACACACTAGCAAAACGCCGAACCAACCGACAAACACAAAATCATATATTGTGAACTAAATACAAGTCGATAGGATTAACTAGACTGTTCATTGTGGAGCCTACACTTGAGGTAAGTAGTTACTATTTAAAATATGCTACAATAGTATACGTCGTACTTACCATCTCTCCTGGTGGTAATTGAGGAAATAAAGTTTGTGGTTGTCCATGCTGGTACGTTGGTTGTCATGTACGGTGTGGTAAGTGTGGTTTTAGTCTGTGTGGTGGTTTGTATTGATAATGTTGTGTTTCGTGTGGTTGTTGGTTGGGTGGTGTTTGTTTTTTGTGTTGATATTGTCGTTTTTGGTGTGGTTGTTGGTTGGGTGGTGTTTGTGTTTTGTGTTGATATTGTCGTTTTTGGTGTGGTTGTTGGTTGGGTGGTGTTTGTTCTTTGTGTTGATATTGTAGTATGTGGTGTGGTAGTTGTAAGTTGAGTGGTCTGATATGTGATTGTAGAGGGCTGTGTGGTATTATGTAAAGGAGTAGTAGTTTGATTATTGTTGAGTGTGGTTGTTAGTAGTGTAGTGTTCAGTGAGAGTGTGGGATTAGTGGTGTAAAATGAGGCAGCAATTGTTTGATTGGTGAATGGTGTGGTTGTATTAGGTTGACTGATATTAGATGTGTTTGTAGTTTGAATAGTGTTATTAAAGACTGTAGTTTGATTGGAGTTTTGATGTGAATCAGTAGGTATGGTAGTTGTAAAAAATGATGTCGACATCAATTCGGTATGAGGAGAGTTAAGAGTTAATTTTATTACAACTGTTACATTTGATTTTGATGGTAAAATTGGAATGACAAATGTAGCATTTTTCCCGTCAGCTGATGTCAGTGTGTCAGTACTCATGGGTTGAAGTGTCACAGAGAAAGTCAAAGATTTTCCTGTTGTTGTCGGCGGTACAGTTTTTCTGAATCTTAGTGCCACTGGTTGACTTTGTGTTGTTGGCGTTGTTGATATTGAGGTGGATGTAGATGCGGTCTGCAGATCTGCTGAAGTGTAGCTGGGTGTAAAGACGTATTGTGGTAGACTGGATAATGTGGTCGGCAGATCTGCTGAAGTGTAGCTGGGTGTAAAGATGTATTTTGGTAGACTATATAATATGGTCGGCAGAACTACTGAAGTGTAGCTGGGTGTAAAGACGTATTGTGGTAGACTGGATGATGTGGTCGGCAGATCTGTTGGGAGAGGATAAACCTCTGTAGATCTCATCAAACTGGGAGAGGATGTCATCGTATATGTTGACGTTCCTTCAACAATCGAGTAGTTCAATATATCTGATAACAAAAATATAGTTTCTTTAAAATTATTATAATTACTTTCTTTTATAAGCTAACATTGTGACAACCCCAACTACCAACAACAACTTCCGGTTTTGAAGTTTCTATGAAACACGAGCATTATTAAAAAGTAAGAAGGGAAGCCGTAAGAGCAGGCGTGAGAGCAGTAGTGGAAGCTGGGCTGAAGCAGATACATTAGAAGAGGAGCTGGAAGTTTCTTATATTTTCATGAATCGTCAGAGTTTCCATGAGGACACGCCCACTGATTATGTTCAGTCTAACAATGTACAAGTAAGGAAATGAATTAAGGTTTTTTTGTAGGATGTGGCTTTTGAAATGTCGACATATGGGTTTTATTGTAGGATGTGGCTTTTGAAACGTCAAGCGATGTAAGTAAAATAGTAATTTTATATTCCACTCCCTGATGTGAGTGTTAAAACTTTACCATTTGCAAATTTTAAAAGTAAATTTAAGCTTTGACAGTGGACGTGTCTTGCAGTGTGTGTGTGGGGGGGGGGGGGGGGGGGAGGGTGGTGGTGGCCCACTTTGAGTAATTCACGAGCACATATTTTGCTGTTTAGTCTTCAATGTTAATTGAACTTAATCAAATGATTACAGTGTATCTGTTTTTCAACCCCTAAATTTTAGTCCAGTGTGTTATCTGTTCATATTTATAAATTCCCAAACCAAAGCTGATAAATCATTATAAAACATAAATTTAAATATATAGAGTATTAAACCATGTTGGACTCGATGGCTGAGAAAATAATATTGTAGCCTACTTCGCCAGAGTTAAAAATATGCTGTTAATATTCTGCTTTTTTACAAGCTTTTTTTTAACTCACTTCCTCGTCAGCCGTCAGTCTGTCCGACTCGATCGAAACGCCCGAGCGAAATTGCAGGTATTTCTACCTGACAGATACGGTTCTTAGTTGGTAGATGCGTCAAGACATGAAGACAATGCATCATGACAAACAATTTGACTTAATTGGTCGCCTGATAATTTTTTATGAATTAATTAAAAATTTGACCAAATTAGTAGGCAGTTCTATCCAACTACTCCACTCGCGTCATCACGTTAAATAGGTGCGAAATGGTTTTTAGTCATGTCATTCTATTGTAAATAAAAACATTGTAAAGTACTAAAAAAAATTCATATTAAAAAACGTTTTAATAACAAGCTTTTATGTAATAATCCACTAAAAAGTAGAAAATAAATTATACTCTACTATTTAAATTACTATAAAGAAAAGCGTGGGTGTGTTCCTAAATATTAGTAAAGGTATCCAATAGATACTAAAGTGGCCCACGCTTTTCTTTATAGTAATTTAAATAGTAGTGCATAACTTATTTTCTAGTTTTTTAATGAATTTTTTTTTTACTTTAATTTATTTTAATGTGCTTTTAATTATTAACTTGGCATCTTATTACTTTCTTGTATACGAAGTATAGAGAAAGTATTGTAATCTTGCAAAAACAAAAAATCGAGATTTTTGTAAATCTCGACGTTTTACACCTCCCTGAGTCAGAAAAACATAGTTTTGCAATCTTGTCCGTATGTCTCTGTATATATATATATATATATATATATATATATATATATATATATATATATATATATATATATATATATATATATATGTTAGTGTATGTGTGTATGTGAACACGATCAGTATTTCTTCCGAATTTTTTTCTCCGTGTGGCATTTGAAAATTTTCGGTGGGGTGGGGGCGGTAAACTTTCTTCGGGGAGGGCAGACACTGTTAAAAGTATATATTTTGTATATAAATTATATACATCTCATTTCGTTCGTGAGGCGGTAGAAATTTTTCGGGGGGGGGGGGGGGGGGGCAAGCCCCACCCGCTCCCCCGAAGAGATGCATTGAAAAAACTCTGAACACGGTAACTTAAGTACCGTTACAGCTAGGTTGATGAAATTTCATATATAAGTATTATATCAAATTTGTAGTTCTGAAATAACTTTTCAGCGATTTCCGTTAACGAGAAGTGAAACTTTTTCTACTTTCAATTTTTTAAAAGCCTATAGCTTGAGTAATGTTGCAGATAGATTAAAGAAATTTCATATATAAGTACAAGATTTAATTCTCCCTCTTCTGCCGTATTTTGAGTTATTTCCGTTGAACGGAAGTAGTAATTTACGCTATTTCCAATTTTTCAAAAAACGCATGTAAATTTATTAAATAATAATAATATTCCGCACTATTATACAAATATTGTTTGGCGTTTACTTGGTGCGCAATTCTGTTTCTACGGGATTTTATTCTATTTTAAAAAGTTTAAGTAATTAAAAATTTATTAACAATCATGTCTATATCCCTCTCGAATATTCGAGAAAATTTAGGGGAGATCACTCCCGGTTCATTTTTAGTTGTAAAGACAACTAAATTACAGAGCGTAAGAAGTAGAAATATTGAAGATAATCCCCTTCTGACTGATAAATCTGCAATTTCAAACATAAAAGTTACAGATGATGCTTTTAAGATCTGTATGGAATACACATAAAAGATAAAAATGAAAGATAAATAGTTTATATATATATATATATATATATATATATATATATATATATATATATATATATATATATATATATATATATATATATATATATATACATTCTATGTCTATAACAGCAAAATGGGTTATGTTTGTTTTCTTGTTAAAGTTTGTAAAGGATTTGCTCATTGGGACGAATATAACACTTTTCAGACTCGAATGGTCTATCAGAATTAACATTTAAATTTAGACATGGGCAGTGTATTTACATAATTACCAATACTTCTTAAATGCTAAATTTAGATGTGCAGATCGATAAGGACATTTAGATCAACTTTTTATTCACCTTGGAATTAAAATTATTATAATTATTATTTAAAAGCAAACTGTATATGCAAATTAAAACATTAATTTTTTTTTATAATTAAAGTTATCTTTTTAAAGTAAACGGAGTCGATTACAAATTAGTTTGAATATTATTTAAGTAAATCATAGAAAGTAAAATTATTTTTTTCAGATTTTAACGTTTGTTTTTCTTTGTTATGACCCATAGATGATTGTAATTTTCTTAAAACCTTCGGATACAGCTGAATATCCAACAAATCGCAAACTGAACTATTTCTGTACCTGTTTTCGGACAGACTTTGCAACTAATTACTTCATAGGTACTTTATAATAAAAATGCTGCATATCATTTTATAATCTCTAGAGTGTCAAAAGTCTAGGTACATTGAGTTTGGATATTACCAGCATTGCTCATTGAAACAGAGATGAGTAACGACACTTACATCAACGTTGGCTAAAACAGAGATGAGTAACAACACTTACATCTTACATCTTGTAGAGATATTTGGACGCCACTACTGGTCGCATCTCCCGTCCCTGATGTCACGAGGACGTCTACTTGAGTGGTAGATTCTTCCAGAACAGGTGTCGCAGTTAACTCCCATCTAATGGTGGATTCGTCTGGCCCTAGGATTACAGACGTGACCAGTCCACTAGCTGAGTCCTTAGAGCTTGATATATCTGTGACTTCTTCAGTGGCGGAGTCCTCTAGCACAGCTGTCACGATGATGGCATTTGGACTGGTAGATTCACCATACACAGGCGTCTCTGTAATGTCAAAAAGACTGGTAGATTCACCATACACAGCCGTCTCTGTAATGTCAAAAAGACTGGTAGATTCACCATACACAGGCGTCTCTGTAATGTCATATATACTGATGGCTTCTTCAACCACAGATGCGGCGCCCTCTTGCACTGATGTTTGTGGTACCTTGTCTACGTAGGCGTTTGCCTCTGCTGACACAACAGATATGGAAGATAATATTTTAGAAGGAGCATTGCATTCTGTTAGTATAGAATATATGTGTACAACGGCATGATAAAATATTCAGTTTTATTTGTTGATCACGGGATGCGAACTCGATACTTTCGAGTTAACACTTAATCTCTATACCTCCCGACCACTAGGTAATTAAGATTCAATTAATTATTCTACTTACCAACACCGACAGCAAAGAAAGTCACATGCAGTTCTAGCAGAAACAAGAGCAGACGGAAGATACGAAAAATTAGCCTACACATGGCTGTATGCTGAAATATGAAAGTGGCGTTTAATTTTATTTTTTTCAAGTTAAAATAAAGCAGGAGTGTCCCCCCCCCCCTAAAATTTCTCTTATATTTTTATATAACAGTAAAGGTGGAGCCACTTCCAGTAGGCCCCTACTCTAGCCTATAGAAAAAAATCTAAAAAAACCAACTTAATGTTAACTTGCTTCCTCGTAATAATATATCATGCTTAGTGCTCTTGTTTATAGGGTCTAAACTGGCGGGCGAAATTTCAACCTCTTGTATTCAGAGCTCTTCCAGGCGTCTCTTCTACCGCCCCCCCCCCCCCCGAACGAAATGAAATTTATATAGAAAATATATACTTTAAGTGTCCGCCCCCCAAAAATTGCTACCCCCCCCCCCCCCCCCCCCGAAGAAAAAAGTCTGGAAGAAACACTGATTGTACTGCACTGTTCTCTTTTTAACATGCCACGTGGGTCAAGACCCAATGAAAATGCAATGTGATAGCACATTTTACTTAAATTAGATGATAAATTAATTTTTTTAAATAAATTAATATTTTCCATAAAATGTATTATTTTAATTGCGCTATTATACGCAGATTATTTGCGTTCATTTGGTGCGCAATTCTTGCACTGTCTCGAAATTTCGTCCACCAAATTTAAAGAATACTGTAGTTTTCAGCTTTTGAGAAACCAGAAGATGAGAACTGGTTATTGGATAAAGCTCAAATGTTGATAAAGAACTACACATTTAATGTAATATAATATGAGATTTGTTTGACGTAACTGAAACGGTAGGCCTACTCAAATTGTCGTAGTCACAAATATATAGACACACATACAGATAGACCGACAGACACGGCAGTGGCGGAACTAGAAAAAAAGGGCCGCCCCGCAAAAAAAATTTTTGGGCCATATATATATATATATATATATATATATATATATATATATATATATATATATATATATATATATATATATATATATATATATATATATATATATATAAACAAAATACGAACGTAGAATACTCAACACCTGCTTGTTCGAAATTTGAAAAAAAACAAATTCTTAGGTTTTTTTTTAATGAAAGCATGTTACAACAACACATCATTTGCGTAAGTACTATTGGTCAGTTTGGAAATTCTCTGTTTTAATGTCTGACATGTTACTTCCTATTTTAAAAGTTGGTCAAAAGAATATGAAGCATGAAAGCTTTGTATGTGTAATGGGTTCTCGCCTTATGTTTATTTGTATATTTTTGTATTAATATTAATAAATTTAATACATTTCCTTTTTATTCTATTTCGTTCTTTATTATGTATTTTTTCTTTAAATAATAATTGAGAGAAATACTTGCTTTTTAATTTGTTTAGTGCAAATCTATTAAAAGTTTTTTAAGAGCACACATATTTGACTATTTAAAAAAGGGAAATAAGTAATGGAAGTGGTTTGAACGTTTGCCTATCTTTCACACTACAACTGATGTAGCCTATATATTTTTTTCCTTTACGAAACAGCGTGCGTTGGCTACTGTAGAACATCACTACTGTAGTAGATCTGTTTGTTTTTCACACGAAAATTATTTTTTTTAACTATAAAAATATTGATTATGGTCGTCTGTGGGCCCCTAAAAGGCCTGGGCCCCCCCGCAATGCGGGGTCTGGCGGCACTGTAGTTCCGCCCCTGAGACACGAACAGACAGACACAGACAAAATTGCAAAACTAAGTTTTCTTACTCAGAGCGGTGTAAAACTTCGAGATTTGTCGAAATCTCCGTTTCAATTTTTGCACTATAACAAAACTTCCTATATAGGCTACATACAATACACAAAAGAAAAAAAAATTTGATAAAAAAACGTACACAACGTTGTCCAGATAACCAAGCCCCTATTGCTCCGTTCAGTGTGTTGATATAAAGTGGGTTGTAATTCGATCAAAGCGTGTGTGTATTCTACCCCCTAGCCTTAGCTATGTCTGTGTGTATGTTCTTGTGTCAAATTACCCAGGCAGGCTAAACGAACACATAAAACCACTCAATCGTGAACATCTCCTACGTGTCATTATGTATTAATCTAGGTCATTGTATTAAATTGCTTCATAGTAATAGTGGCCGTGTTACGCTGATATTTCCTACTTATAATGTTAGGCTTATTATTTATCGTTAAAGAACTATTTAAGTAAAATAGTCACTATAGAAATTAATCAATTATATTCACATGCATTGCCTTTTCAATACGATTAGTATTATATTCATTTGCCGTTGGTGCCTAGAGTTCATCGGGCAGATGCAGTAGGCTTGTGTTTATGGTAATAGTTAGGATAGGATAGGATATAATAAAGATTAGGGATATGGTGAAAATTAAGAATAATCAAAAAGATCATGGTTAGGAACAGGTTAAGAGACAGAGAAATGGATATGTGGAAAGACTGGGATAGGTTGGGATAATATGGGATAATTACGCAGTGTGATAATTGAGAAGAGGTAATTTGATCCCCAGGTGGGCATTATGGGTTGGGGTAGGGGTGTGTAGCATCAAAGACCCTGGTAGATTATGTCACATTTCGATTTAAATTTCAATTTAATTTTGAATATCAGCTTACTTATCAAATTCTTAACACTTAAAATTGGGTTTTAATATTATAGGTGATTTTGTGTATATTATTTATCTGTCAGGCCTTTCAAATGACACACATTCAAGACATAGTTCTTACCTTTTAGAAACTTGGCGATTACAACCGTGCAGGACGCCGGACCAGTAGGTCTTCAGGCGTAGATTTTTTCTTTTAGTTCTATGTTATGGTTATCATGTTACCGGCCTCGCCCTAACAGGCCATTTTCTTTGTTAACAAAAAGACGGATCATTCGTTAGCACATGGGTCGGTGTAAACCTGTTTTTTTTTAGTTTATGTTGTTTCTGAAACCATTGATTTGTATGCTAGTTTAGAGATATAAAAAACAGGAATACACACATTTATATGGGTCTTGTATTTATCTAAAAGTCTGACGTCATACTAAACATAAATCATCGATAAAAATAGATCACCGTTAACACTTACCTAAAAAATGACAGTTGTCTGCATCAAACAGTGATAATGATTAAGGCCATAATTAAAAGTTAAAACAAAACGTTTTAACACTTCCAATGAAAAAATACTTGATAGTATTTCAGCACATAAAGTATGTGTTACTTGCATACATAGAATCCTTGTAAGCACTGCCCACAAATAATACATTGGAAGTTAAGTGCAAAGAATCAGCACCGAGGCGTAACGGCTTGGTACTGTTGGAATTTGTTTAATGTAGGCGACACGCTTGGTAGGGTGCAAGTCTATAGAGGTCTTGCTGCATGCTCTATTTATAAAGTCGCCATTTTTTAATGTACACTACACAATGTTGTATTCATTTTCTACACAATAAGTGGTGTGTTTACCTTTAAAGCAGTAGCGTAGCGAGGGGGGGGGGACATATGTCCCCGGGCGCCGACCTTAGGGGGCGCCAAAATGGGTTGGAAAAATAAATTGAAACGTTGAGGGGGGTGCAAATCAAAAGTTTGAGGCGGGGGGGGGGGGTGGGGTGGGGGGGTGCAAATGGAAATCTCGAGGGGGGGGATGCAAATCGAAAGTTTGAGGGGGGTGCAAATGGAAATCTTGAGAGGGGTGCAAATTGAAAGTTTGGGGGGGGGGGTGCAAATCGAATCTCGAGGGGGGGTGCAAATCGAAAAGTTTGTCCCCGGGCGCCGGGAAGGGTCGCTACGCCTCTGCTTTAAAGTGGTCGATATTATTTTGTTACAGCATACAAACTAGCACCTTATTATCAAGCAAGGCTATATCTTCATGCACAACAGGACGTATTAACAACTTTGCTTAGACACGGGAATCGGCGATTAGTACTCCCGCCTTGTAATACACACTAGTTTTATTTGAGAATCCTTACAATGAATGTGATCTGAGGTAGGCCTATATATCCGAAAATAATAGACTGCTGCAAGTAAAGATGTTTAGTTCAAGATATTTGTTGATTTAATTACTCGTGGTAAGAATAATGTTCTAGTGATACAACACACAATTTGTCCCATTGGCTGTGTTAACCATAATTATAAAGTTAAATTACTAAAGTGATTCAATTTTGGCCTTTGTCAAACACTAAATAATAGCAAATACAAAATTGCAAGATTATTAATTATTTCATTAGATAGGAAATTATAAAATATGCCACAATAGCAACTTATTTCTTTTTCGTTCTTAATAATAATGCTGGTAAGGATTTCCTAGAATACAATTTAGGTTTACGTGTCAACTGGTTATGCGCTTTTTACGCCATTGTCTTCAATTTCAGCCTGCTTTTCTTCCATAGCCTTTGTCCAAGAACAAATTTCAAGGCAACAGTTGTTTTATATTTTGGAGTTGACTTTCCTAGATAGGTTGCTGTCCCCAGCTATCGAGTCTCATCTACCCTGGGGTTCGAACTCGGGATTACAACATGTAGTACTGTTATAACGCTAGACGGATTGCTAAGAATTTGTGCTAGACACATGATATAAAGGACGTCAATAATGTTGAAGAGATCATTGAGCCGTGAAGAAACATGAGACGGTTGTGGGGATCTTCCTGCTGTGGGGATCTTCCTGCTGTGGGGATCCTCTGAATACATGTGACACGTCTGGTTGCATGTGACATATCTGAATGCACGTCTGGTCCCTCTAGGGTCATCAATGCACAAGGTGACCTGATTTAAGCTACATGTCAGCCAACATACACATCATACCAATAGTTTTATCACACATTTGTATTCACATTATAAAGTCTTATTGTATCATGTTATTGTTTAAGTGCTAATAGCAAGTGCTTTAATTTTCGTTACGTAAATATGCATCTAATGCATCTAATAACCATTCGTCCTTCTCTCTCAGTCAAACATGATTTGTTGTCGTACTGTCACCACCCGGAGAAATATTACCATCACCACCAGTCCTACCATCACTACCAGTCCTATCATCACCATCTCCTACCACCACTACCAGCTCTACCATCACCACAAGCCCTACCATTACCATGTTCTACCATCACTACCAGCCCTACCATCACCACCAGTCCTACCACCACTACTAGCCCTACCACCACTACCAGCCCTACCATCACCACCAGCCCTACCATCACCACCAGCCCTACCATCACTATCAGCCATACCATCACTACCAGTCTACCACCACTACCAGCCCTACCATCACCACCAGTCCTACCACCACTACCAGCCCTACCATCACCACCAGCCCTACCATCACCACCAGCCCTACCATCACTACCAGCCATACCATCACTACCAGTACTACCATCACTACCAGCCCTACCATCACCACAAGCCCTACCATCACCTTGTCCTACCATCACCACCAGTTCTACCATCACTACCAGCTCTACCATCACCACTAGTCCTACCATCACCACCAGCCCTACCATCACCATCAGTCCTATCATCACCATGTCCTACCATCACTACCAGTCCTACCATCACCACCAGCCCTACCATCACCATTAGTCCTACCATCACCACCAGCCCTACCATCACCATCAGTCCTACCATCACCATGTCCTACCATCACTACCAGTCCTACCATCACTACCAGCCCTACCATCATCATGTCCTACCATCACCACCAGCCCTACAATCACCATCAGTCCTACCATCACCATGTCCTACCATCACTACCAGCCCTACCATCACCACCAGTCCTACCATCACCACCAGTCCTACCATCACCATCAGCCCTACCATCACTTTGTCCTACCATCACTACCAGCCCTACCATCACCATCAGCCCTACCATCACCATGTCCTACCATCACTACCAGCCCTACCATCATCATGTCCTACCATCACCACCAGCCCTACAATCACCATCAGCCCTACCATCACCATGTCCTACCACCACTACCAGCCCTACCATCACCATCAACCCTACCATCACCATGTCCTACCATCACTACCAGCCCTACCATCACCACCAGTCCTACAATCACCATGTCCTACCATCACCATGTCCTACCATCACTACCAGTCCTACCATCTTCATGTCCTACCATCACCACAAGCCCTACCATCACCATGTTCTACCATCACTACCAGCCCTACCATCACCACCAGTCCTACCATCACTACCAGTACTACCATCACCACCAGCCCTACAATCATCATGTCCTATCATCACTACCAGTCCTACCATCACCATGTCCTACCATCACCATCCCCATCAGCCAGTTATTCATGATCTATAGATCCCATGTTTCATTCACGAACAATCTAAGTCAGCTATAACTTATAAATATGCTGCAATCCAAACGTATTACTTTCACATGCTTTAGGGGCTCAGAAAATCATTGTTTGCTAAACTGTGTACACCAACATTATATCATTAATAAAAACACTTTCCATCACCAAGATATCGTAACAGACCTTACACCTAAACAACATGACAAGAGTTCACGGCTTCGTAACGTTAGTGTAACGTTAACCTATCTATCAGCCAAATAGAAGGAGAACGTCCCCGGATTCTTTTTTCGGGGTCATATGCAAATGCCTTACGGCCTAAGTGGATGAACACTTAACACAACGACCACTAGGGCTCGAATTTAATGTCTAGGGAAGCTAGTGATACTATTGTAATTAACACTCATCCAATCTACATACGACCTTTTAATCAGCGAACTCAGAAGTGGCAGAACACAAGGTTGAACTAAATAAAATATTTAATGTATAAAATATCAAAAACCAACTTACACAATGTAGGAAAAAACACTATCACAGATTTCTACACTGTCTAAAGAACAGCTACAGGCCACACAACACTGCTGTAGTTTCTAGAATTACTGAGCGACAAGTAATATTAAACTAGAAGACTAAATCAACTTAAGAAAGCAAGGCACACACAGGTCTTAAGTACTCTCACGTTCAAATGGTCAGAGTCTATAGCCGGACAATATGGACGGCTGCCTGACTAAGGTAAAACTGCCTCGTAGACTGCCAGGTCAAGATAAACTGCCTCGTGTTGCGAGTGTGCAGTGCAATTAAAGACTTCTGTGACAGGGGAGGTTATCCTCAACTCATGTCGCCATTGGTTGGGATAATCATCTGATCAGAATCATTCAATCAGATTTTAATGGAAAATTTCTATGTCTCAAACACCTTAATAAGTCAGTGGAAAAACCCCAGGTGTTACACCATCATTCCATATAAGGAATTATACAATGTCAAAATAAAAATGACTCGACCTAAGTAGGTCACATCCCCTCCCTTTTTGGAAGTGACAGATAGGTTCCACAAAAACATACATAGGGAACCAATCTGGCAATGAAATAACAAAAATGTTTTACAAATGTAGGCAATCAAAATCATAATACCAGATGAAAATATCCCTGAACATAAAAGGGAAGTAACTCCAACTTTTACAATTGGTGAAAGGGGAGTAACCCTTCAAAAAGTAATTATACATCAAAATCCCTCAAAAAAGGGTATTACAATATTTCCATGTGGATATTAAAAGTGGTAAACCCGCCAGGGTAAGACCTTTATTTCAATGACTAGCTACAATATCAATGGAACCATATGAGACATATTATTATAAAAGATTACATATAATCAAAAACCACCTTTAATTAAGGTTGCTCCTGAAAATAAACAAAATATTCAACAGGATTGGAATTTTGAAAAAATCAAAAATCATACCACTCATTTCCAGGTTAAAACACAACACTTGTGTATGGTCTCAACGAACCACAAAACATGTCACATGATCAATGTGTACAATAAGATTTTACATCCTTGACAAACAATCAGCCACAACATTATCACTACCCTTAATGTGTGAAATTTCCAGATTAAAATTTTGGAAATATAAGCACCATCTCAATATTCTTTGATTTGTCTGTCCTAACTTAGAGGTAAATTTCAGGGGATCATGGTCAGAAAACACTCTGACTGGATTGGTTGAAGAAGAGACATAGACTTCAAAATGTTGTAATGATAAAACCAAAGCTAAAGCTTCTTTTTCAATAGTAGAATAATTCTTTTGGTTTTCATTTAACTTCCTGGAAAAAAAGGCAATGGGATGGTCAATTCCCATGTTGTCTTCTTGAAATAGGACTGAGCCAATGGCTAAGTTGCTAGCATCAATGGCAAGTTTAAAGGGCTTGCTAAAATTTGGTGCAGCCATAACAGGAGCATTTGATAAAAATGACTTAATGGTAAAAAAAGCTTCTTGACATTTATTGGACCATTCAAATTCAACACCCTTTTTCAATAATGCAGTAAGAGGTTCAGCAATAGCTGAAAAGTTTTGACAGAACCGCCTATAGTAACCAGCCATCCCAAGGAACTTTTTGATCTCTTTACAATTTTTGGGAGGTGGCAACTTTACAATAGCATCTACTTTAGCTTCAATGGGCCGAACTTGGTTCGTTCCCACTTGATAACCCAAATAGGTAATTGAAGCTTTACAGAAATCACTTTTATGTAAGTTTACAGTAAAATTCACTTCAGACAATTTTCTAAAAAGGTTAGTCAATTGAACAATATGTTCTTCAAAAGTATTAGAAAATACAACTATATCATCTATGTAGGCCTCACATTGGTCTATGTCAGCAATGACAGAGTTAATGACCCTCTGGAAAGTTTGACCAGCATTTCGCATACCAAAGGGCATACGTTTGTATCTATAAAAACCATTAGGGGTTACAAAAGCAGATATTTCTTTTGCACGGTCAGATAATGGGATTTGCCAGTATCCTGAAAGTAAATCAATTTTGGAAATTATCTTAGCCTGCCCAACTTTATCAATAACGTCTTCTATCCGAGGTAAGGGATAGGAATCAGCTTTGGTGAGCGCATTCACCTTCCTAAAGTCGGTCACAAACCTGAAAGATCCACCGTCTTTCGGGACTAGGAGACATGGGGAACTCCAGTTGCTGAAACTGGGCTCAATGATATCATTCTTGAGCATATAATCAATTTCATCCTTTATCAAAGCAGCTTTTTCCGGGTTAACTCTATAGGGGTGTTGTTTAATGGGTTTTGCGTCACCAACGTCTACATCATGAGGTGGAACCTTCGCTTCTTTGGGGGCATCCCCAAAAATAGAGGGAAATGTCTCAAATAACTGAGACAATCTATGGCTTTCCTCTGTGGACAAATGCATAAGGTGGACATTCAAATTATCTAAAAAGGAAGAATTTACCAATTTTGGGGGTTTCAATTTATCATGTATCACATCATCAGAAACATTTGAACATACAGGTAAAGTAATTTTAGCTGTGGAATGAAAATTGTTACAATTATCATAATACTTTTTCAGTGAGTTGACATGATACACTGTCTGTTTCTTTCTTCTGTCGGGCGTATTGACAACATAGTTCAAATCACTTAATTTTGAATGCACAGTAAAGGGTCCACAATATCTCAAGGATAACGCATTGTTCAGATTAGGTACTAACACAAGAACTTTGTCGCCTGGATTGAATGTTCGTTTACAAGAACTCTTATCATACAGTTCTTTCATTCTCACTTGGGCCTTTCTTAAGTTCTTGTGAGCCATTTCGCACACGGCTTTCAGTCGAACGTGAAAATCGTCGAAGTTTTCCACTGGATGATCACTGGTACCTGTCCAACGTTCGTGTATCAGCTTCAGGGGGCCACGGACAGAATGTCCAAGCACAAGTTGAAAAGGCGAGTAGCCTAAAGAGTCCTGGACACAGTCCCTCGCGGCGAAAATAATCCAAGGAACAGACTCATCCCATTGGGTGTTACTGTTAGCGAATGTCCTTAGCATGGTTTTGAGGGTTTGGTGGAACCTCTCAAGTACGCCTTGAGACTGAGGGTGGTAGGCTGAGCTGGTGATGTGGGTAACGCCTAGCGTGGCTAGCGCTTCCTGAAAATGGAGACTGGTGAAGTTGCTGCCTTGATCTGTTTGCACGATTCTAGGTAATCCAAAGGTAGTGAAGAACCGGGTCATGGCTCTGACTACAGTCTTTGCCTTAATGTTCCGTAAGGGAATCGCCTCGGGAAAACGGGTACTTGAACACATAAAGGTAAGTAGGTACTCGTTGCCCGTCTTGGTTTTAGGCAAGGGACCTACACAGTCCATGACGATTTTAGAAAAAGGTTCTTCTAATACAGGAATCGGACTCAAAGGGGCCTTAGGAATTGTCTGGTTTGGCTTTCCGGCCAACTGACAGTTCGTGCAACTTCTACAGTAACGCGACACATCTTTTCTCATTTTGGGCCAAAAGAACAGTTCTTTGATCTTCGCCGTCGTTTTAGTGACTCCTGGGTGCGCTGACATTGGATGGTCATGTGCCAGCTTAAGTATTTCATGCCGATAAGGTGGAGGGATCCACAGCTGGTTTCTACCCAACCATGGTTCGGCCGGTGAGGCAATCACTGGTATAGCGCGACGAAAGAAGAGGCCGTTCTCGGCGAAATATTCTCCATCGTCAGATGATAGAGATTTTTCGACCGCTGCTTTGAGTTCCGCGTCGACTTGTTGAGCTTTAATGATGTCTTCCTGAGATATTCTCAGGGGTAAGCCCAAGCTTGTGTTTTCTGGAAGCATAGACTCCAGTTTGGGAGTCGAATTTCTTGACGATGACGGCGGGTGTGGTTCAGACGTTGTGTCAGCCAATTGTTTGGTCTGGCTTCTTGTCACCGCACATGCAGGATACAGTTCATTATCATTATCTGGAACTGTTGACAAAGGGTCTGAAACCGTACAGGGGTATACTTTGCTTCCCGCAAGGTCATTCCCTAGAAGTAGGTGTACTCCTGGGACTGGAATACTATCTATCACACCTAAAATGACCTCACCTTCGACGAGATGATGTTTCAGGGCAAACTTGTGTAGAGGGACGACAGTAGATTTTGTCCCCACTCCCTGGATAATGGAAATCCTTCCGGTGTTCGTCTCTGGTGTAATGTCCATTGAACTTCTCAAAAGGAGTGATTGTGACGCTCCTGTGTCTCTTAGGACGGTGATATTCTTCTGAGACAACGGATCACCTGGTTTGCTAATGATGGCTTCGGCAATAAAAGATGAAAAGTCAACTTTTCTCGATCCCTCGAGATCGGTAGACTCGGAAGAAACTGGATGGTGGCGAGAACAGTCAAAATGTGACTGCACATAATGTGTGGAGACTTGACTACCTTCTTGCGGACACTTAGGGTTAGAGTCCTTTTGAATTCTAGAGTTCATAGTTGAACTGGCTGCTTGAGGGGATAGAGCATAGTGCGCGGAAGTACGCACCACCTCTCTGTTATTCTGAAGACGTTTGTAACAGTCCTTGACATGGTGACCAGGCCTTTTGCAGAACTGGCATACTGCTCGACGATTGAGAGTTGATCTTGGTTTCTCTCTGGACTGTGATGCCTTCAAATGTTGGCCAACAGAATGATTGCTGCCAAAAAGGGGAAGCACGGGGTTGAGGCGGTTTCCTGACACTGGTGGTTTCTTATGCACCAACATATATGTGTCAGCCGACTCAGCAGCCTTCTGGATGTCAGTTATCTTGTTATCCAGAATGTGTAGTCGTATCTCTTCAGGCAGGGACGATAGGAATTCTTCCCTTAGGATAAGTGACCTGAGTTTCTCAAACTCAGAAACTTCCTCAGAGTGTAGCCACCTTGAGAATATTTTCTCCTTTTCAAAGAGAAATTCCACATATGATTGTGTGGGTAACTTGCGGAGTGTTCGGAATTTTGTCCGATAGGCCTCGGGCGTCAGTGCGTAGGCCTTTAAAATGGCAGTCTTGACCAAACTATAGTTATTTTGAACGTCGTGAGAGAGTGCCTGGTATGTTTTTGCAGCTTTCCCAGTAAGGACAGAGCTCAATAAAGCAGTAATGGAAGATTCGGGCCATTCACATGTCTTCGCTAAACTCTCAAATGAGTTAAAGAAAACGACCAAATCTGTTTCATCAAATTTAGGAACTAATTTCCCAAATTTGGCAATCACTTGCCCCACCGACAACTTTTTTGGATCTACCAGAGAAGTAACATCACTAACTTGACCAAATTCTGATTCCAACCTCCTCCTATCTAAAGCAATTTTAACCTCTAACTCCTGTTCTTTTAATGCCTTCTCTAAAGCAACTTTCTCCTCACGAAGTAATACACCAGCCAACAAACTTTCATCAAATACCCCTTCATTAATGAAATGAACAACAATTTTATCTCTCAACACCTCTGACTTCTGCGTAACAGAATAATCCAATTTCAATTCCTTAACAACACTAATCAAAACTTTTCTACTCAACTTCTCGACCTCTTCAAAAGTAGGATTAGCCAAAAAAGACTCCATAACACTAACTTTCAAATCACAACAAGCCTAGGTTCACTAACTTAACACACAGCGTTGGGCCGTGTACTTGACCTCTTCAATCTAGGACAACACGTCTGGCTATTGACCTAGATAACTCTATGCTTGCGCGCGTTGTAAGGACACTGCGCTACTGGATATAAAAACAACTAAATCCAACTAACCTTAGTATTCAACTGATATAACCAACAACTGGAACGACAGATTAAATCTCGGCGAGCTCCCACTTTGTAACGTTAACCTATCTATCAGCCAAATAGAAGGAGAACGTCCCCGGATTCTTTTTTCGGGGTCATATGCAAATGCCTTACGGCCTAAGTGGATGAACACTTAACACAACGACCACTAGGGCTCGAATTTAATGTCTAGGGAAGCTAGTGATACTATTGTAATTAACACTCATCCAATCTACATACGACCTTTTAATCAGCGAACTCAGAAGTGGCAGAACACAAGGTTGAACTAAATAAAATATTTAATGTATAAAATATCAAAAACCAACTTACACAATGTAGGAAAAAACACTATCACAGATTTCTACACTGTCTAAAGAACAGCTACAGGCCACACAACACTGCTGTAGTTTCTAGAATTACTGAGCGACAAGTAATATTAAACTAGAAGACTAAATCAACTTAAGAAAGCAAGGCACACACAGGTCTTAAGTACTCTCACGTTCAAATGGTCAGAGTCTATAGCCGGACAATATGGACGGCTGCCTGACTAAGGTAAAACTGCCTCGTAGACTGCCAGGTCAAGATAAACTGCCTCGTGTTGCGAGTGTGCAGTGCAATTAAAGACTTCTGTGACAGGGGAGGTTATCCTCAACTCATGTCGCCATTGGTTGGGATAATCATCTGATCAGAATCATTCAATCAGATTTTAATGGAAAATTTCTATGTCTCAAACACCTTAATAAGTCAGTGGAAAAACCCCAGGTGTTACACCATCATTCCATATAAGGAATTATACAATGTCAAAATAAAAATGACTCGACCTAAGTAGGTCACATTAGTTATAATAATAATAATAGTAACAAATCTCGACATCTTAATACTAACAAACCTAGAATCTTAAATTTATGAATATTGTTATGGTGTTTATAACTGTCGAACACCTTATACAAGATATAATGTCTATATAATTCTACTGTCTTATTGTTTCGTTCATCATCCTATACACTAGAAGAGTGCACAGAAATTAGGGCAATTAGCTGCAGAACAGCGAGATAATGATGGGGAGAGAAGTACGTACCAACCTAGTGATAACACAGCCATCACTTGCGTAAACATTGTTGTAAGTTCACATTTAAGATGTCTACAGTCGCAAGTGTTTTAGTGGTTGGCCTTGCTGTCTTAGTCTGGAATATTTTTTATAGAGCTCGCGATCTGCCAGTCGAATATGGCTTAGTGACAAAGTTTAATGCTACATACGACTACATTGTTGGTAAGTTGTTATGTGACGGTTGTTTTACTTGACAGTGTTGGTAAGTTGTTGTTACGTGACTGGGTGGTTTAAATTTAACAGTGTTAGTAAGTTGTTGTTATGTGGCTGGGTTGTTTAAATGTAACAGTGTTGGTCAGTTGTATTGCTAAAAGTGGATTTGTTAAGTTGTTTGAATGTGAGTTGTGATGTTTGAATGTGACTTGTGATGTTTGAATGCGACGTGTAATGTTTTAATGTGAATTGTGATGTTTAATGTTTTTATGATGTTAGATGATCTTGTGATATTTCAATATGACTTGTGATGTTTTCATGTGACTTGTGCGGGTTTAACGGTATCTGTGATGTTTTACTGTGACAGGATTAGTAATTTATTAAACTAAAACTTGATTTGTTAAGATGTTTTAATGTGTTATTTAAATGTGACTTAACTTTTAATATGCCAAGCTTGTATACAAGAAAAATACAATTAAAATAGTCCTTTATATCGAGAAGTTCAAGGCTGAATCAAAAGTACATAGCTGCAAAGTTTGTTATCATCTAACCATACAGCGAAAATCAAGGGACGTGACTATTCGATGTTCTGTCTTATCTTTCAAATACAAATAAAGCGTTTGTAACGCTACCAGTGTTTCTTCCCGACTTTTTTCTCCGGGGGGACACTTGAAATTTTCGGGGGGGGGGGGGGGCGGTAGACTTTCTTCGGGGGGGGCGGACACTGTTAAAAGTATATATTTTCTATATAAATTATATAAATTTCATTTCGTTCGGGGGGGGGGAGGGCGGTAAAAAATTTTCGGGGGGGGGGGGGGCGCCCCGAATAGATGCCTGGAAGAAACTCTGAACGCTACTGTGTGGTAACGTGACAATTCAAATGACAATCGGGACAATTTGTCGTCTATGTGATGCTGGCTAGTAGCTAGAGTATTTCTACTGAAATGTGAAATGTATATAATGTTTTTTTTAAACTCTGTGGTTTAGTTGTATCACTAACACATGCTAAACCTGGAGGTCTTGTGTTTAAAACCCAAGTAAAAGGTCGTAAAACTCCATGCATATAATTACATGCCCTAGCCAAACCAAGTATATTAACACATATCTAGTTTTTTTTTATGTTTTGTCGGCGCATTGTTTTTTTTTCCTCATAGTGGTGCAAGAAATTACATTATATAACTGTTTTATTATGCGGTTGGCTTACACAACATATACAGATTTTAAAAAAAAATATTCAACGTTGCAGTACAAAAATATTTCTTAAATCGATTCGCAAATAAAAGCAATCAAAATAGACTCAACCTTGTATATTTGATGTCATGCCCATTCCCGATGAACTATTCCAGTAGGAGCCGGGTCTGCAGGATGTGTTGTGGCCAGTCGCCTGTCTGAAGACCCGGATGTGACGGTGCTGCTGTTGGAGGCAGGTGAAAACGACTGGGAGGACAGCAACATCTACACACCTGGTCTGGTGCCAGCTAACTTCAGGACAGATACGGACTGGGAGTACTACACGGAACCTCAGGCTGGCTTGTTCAGTGGACTGGTAGATGGGGTATGTGAGGGGACTGGTAGATGGGGTATGTGAGGGGACTGGTAGATGGGGTATGTGAGGGGACTAATAGATGGGGTATGTGAGGGGATGGGAAGATGGGGTATGTGAGGGGACTGGTAGATGGGGTATGTGAGGGGACTGGTAGATGGGGTATGTGAGGGGATGGGAAGATGGGGTATGTGAGGGGATTGGAAGATGGGTTATGTGAGGGAACTGGTAGATGGGGTATGTGAGGGGACTGGTAGATGGGGTATGTGAGGGGATGGGAAGATGGGGTATGTGAGGGGATTGGAAGATGGGTTATGTGAGGGAACTGGTAGATGGGGTATGTGAGGGGACTGGTAGATGGGGTATGTGAGGGGACTGACAGATGGGGTAATGTGAGGAAATGTAATGAGAGGGGACTAAAAGGTGGGGTAATGAGATAATGTAAGGGGGGTGTCTACAGGGTTGACGAATCTGCTAATGTAAGAAGACAGCGCGTTGGGGTAATGGGATATTCTAAAGAAACCGCTGGAGGGGGAGGTATGGACTTTAATGCTCTTTTTCTTGAAGATACACTTAGATCTGTATTGTCGAGTTCAAGAATTAACCTAAACGTGCTGAACCTATATCAACTAAGTTTTGAGACAATCGTACCTTTTCTCCAGAGATCCTACTGGCCCCGGGGTAGGGCACTGGGAGGCTCCAGCAGCATCAACGCCATGCAGTATGTCAGAGCTTCCAGACACGACTACGACAGGTGGGCGGAGTACACGGGGGTCAAAGAGTGGAGCTACCAATACGTGCTGCCGTATTTCAAGAAGACAGAGAGGATTCAGATCCCAGAGCTGCAGGACTCAGGTTTGATATATGTCCTAACTAATTTTTTGGGAAATTAGAAACGGAAAAGAGTTACAATAAGAGTTATACTAAAATTGCAGTGCGCTATACACGCGAGGTTTCTTTGATACTGAGTCTTAATTTTTGTCAATCTCCGTACCAGTTTTGCACTTAGTTCATTTACAGACTTTTACTTAATTGCTGGGATATGGCTTTGTGTAGAAGAAGGACAGGGAATTCCATGGAGACCTTAAAACACACGAATTTATTTTTATTTTAGAACTTTTTAAAATTGAAATAGGCGTTTGCGTAGAAATTCAAGCTATAAATGTTTTACCCCAATAATGGCGCTTTTAATGAAAGTTCTAGACATGTGGAACTGAGATATAACGTGATTTGTGTACATTTCAACAGAGTACCACGGTAAGGGAGGACCACTGACCATCAGCAGGGTGACCGGCCATCCCATAGCGGCTAAAATCATAGAGGCTTCACAAAGTCTTGGCGTCAGCTACAATGTGGATTTTAATGGGAAAACAGTTGAAGGTAGGCATCAAACAAATTGTTATCATTCATTTCGGATTTTAAATCTTCAGTTTGGAAAACATCTTGCAAAAATAAAAGGCGTTAATAAAATTGATTATGTAATTTGTGCTGCAGGTATTTCCTATTCTCAAGTCACCTCGAACAACGGAGAAAGGTTTAGTACAAGTCGTGCCTTTATCCACCCCAACCTTCACAGACCAAATCTTCATGTAGCTGTACACGCACATGTACAAAAGGTCAGTACAAGTCGTGCTTCATTGAATGTTCCTAATCGACTATTTAAATTGTCTTTTTACTTTATTTTTACCAAGTGATCATCACAAATAAAAAATAAGTGAACATTGTATATACCACAGGTGATCATCACCAATAAAAGAGCTGAAGGTGTGGAGGTCATCAAAGACGGGAGGAAGTTTGTGGTCAAGTCTAGACGTGAGGTCATCTTGTCCTCTGGTGCTATAGGCTCGCCACAGATTCTCATGTTGTCGGGTGTTGGGCCCAGGAAACATCTGGAAAGTCTGAACGTGAGTTTATGAATTCTTATTTCATTTTCAACGCGCACCATATCCTTAAAAAAACCGTTGAAATAAATAGTTTTATCTTCTGATCGTGACATTTCTTTAAGATTTCAGTTGAGGCTGACCTACCCGTGGGGGAGAACCTACAGGACCACGTGATGTTTGATGTCGGGGTCAAGGTCAGGGAGCCACTGACTGCTGTAGTGGATGACTTCAACAGCCTTACATCTTATCTGAAGTATAAGCTGTTCGGCACAGGTCGGTTATTTCTTATTCAACACTGTCAAATTAATTTCGTTGAATGTTAAGGCTATAATGCACTCTGTTTACACTTTAAAAGAACGAACTAAAATATAGTCAATGTATCACCTGTTATATCAATAAGTAGCAAGAAGCAAAGTTTAAAAGCAGTTTATGCAGTTTAACGGTTTGTTATATTTTAAAATTCGAACAAAATGCGTGATAGATTTCCGTCTTCATGTAAACTGAACCCAGCTATTGAATACATTAATCAACGTTTTCTTTGAGCAGGTATTTTTAGCATAGCTTTGAGTATCGAAGTCATGTCCTTTAGAAGTACGAGGCAGGAAACACGAGAATGGCCAGACCTGCAACTTATCTTTACCAGCATCCTGGCACCAGCAAGCGAAGTCTTTGGGTATGGGGAGCAGGTCTGTTGTTGTGTCATGTTATGTGTATGCGTTGTGTTTGTGCGTTGTGTGTGTGCGTTGTGTGTGTGTGTGTGCGTTGTGTGTGTGCGTTGTGTGTGTGCGTTGTGTGTGTGGTGTTGTGTGTGATGTGTGTATATGTGGTTGTGTGTGTGCGTTGTGTGTGTGCTTTGTGTGTGTGGTGTTGTGTGTGTGCGTTGTGTGTGTGCGTTGTGTGTGTGCGTTGTGTGTGTGCGTTGTGTGTGTGTGTGCGTTGTGTGCGTGCGTTGTGCGTGATGTGTGTATATGTGGTTGTGTGTGTGCGTTGTGTGTGTGGTGTTGTGTGTGTGCGTTGTGTGTGTGTGTGGTGTTGTGTGTGATGTGTGTATATGTGGTTGTGTGTGTTGTTGTAGTGTGTGTATGTTGTAGTGTGTGTATGTTGTTATGTATTTGAGATTTTGAGCCCTAGAAGTCGCAAAGGCGAAATGACCAGTACTGTTTCACATGTTTCAAGTAAAATCCGAGATGTCGCAAAGACGAAATTACTAGTGCGGTTTCACATATTTCAGGTGCAGTCTGAGATGTCCCGAAGACGAAATGACCAGTACGGTTTCACGTGTTACCCAGCACTGTTACGCCCAGAGAGTAGAGGCAACATAAGGCTCAGGTCCAGAGACCCGTTTGATCATCCGGTCATCTGGGCCAACTACCTGGACAAACAGGGGGACGTAGAGGTTCTTATTGCAGGTTCTTCTAGAACTTTCTTTAGTACACTAATGGATTGTACAAAAACGATTTCTGTCTTTTTCGTGGATTTTACACTTCCTCGCATAGTCAGTCATTACTTTAAAAAATTCTGTATATACAGAGGTTTCAAACGATATTGTAAATAAACTGTTAGGTGTCAACAAGCTAGGCTCATTGCTTCCTATCTAGTTATAAACTTGCACTTTACCAATATACCACGACCTTCTCTCCCGTTGATTGTCCATATATATTCCTTTTTAACATAAGCATGGGGTCATTAACGTTTATTCGTGTCATGATGCAGGTATAAAAGAATGCAGAAAGCTGGCGAACACGAAGGTGATGAAAGATATCGGTGCTGAACTCACAGAGACGGCAGCGCCACCTTCGTGTAAACAACACAAATACGACTCACATGAATACTGGACGTGCATGCTCACGTTTAGACCACTCACACTCTACCACCCTGTGGGCACGTGTAAGATGGGGCCGGCTAATGACCCAACAGCGGTCGTTGACCCTGAACTCAGGTAATCTGTCACTAATGTGGCAGTATTGTGGCAGGAGTAAAATATGTTCTACGTACTTTGGTCGTCACACTATCATTCAATACGTTGCGTAGAACAATTACTTTGATTTCAATTTTTTTTCTTACACTTTAAACATGTTATAGTAAGCTCATATTAACATGTATAATAGCCACATAGTACAGTGATTTAGATGGTGGTTATAATTCAGTAAAATTAAAAAGTGTTTATTATTCCTGAAATTCTGTCAATACATCTTGCGATAAACGAGTTTATTTTCACCGTTCTAGTTAAATACAATTACTCCCTTAGATACACACCCCTTTTTTAATTATGTTGACATCTCACGAGATGTTTTAAATCCCAATCAATATTCGGCAATCGGTGAGTTTTACTTCGATACCGTCAACTGTAGGCTCTCAGTTTTGAGAAAAAAAAACAGCACATAACTGCGCGAATAATTGTTAAAAATTAATCTGGTTATCGCCCCTGTCAATATTCGGCAAATCCGAAGTTAGTATCTCCTCCAATCGAAACCTAACTCCACTTGTCCTCACTTCCCCCCCCCCCCCTCCCCACCGACCACCATGTTTTTGCAAAAGTATTACTCAGTAGTAACATATGTTAAGTTACAAAAAGCTAAAAGACTATTGTTTTAAAATATAACTAAGCAATGTTTGTCTCTGTTTTTTTTTTAAATATAACTAAACGACGCTTGCCTATATTCGTACAGTTACAAAATTCACGAAATTTCTTTCCCCAGGGTCCGTGGCATCCAAGGTCTCCGTGTTGTTGACGCCTCAATCATGCCCTGGCTTGTGTCTGCCAACACCAACGCCCCCACAATCATGATTGGTGAGAGGGCAGCAGACATGATCAGGGGCAGACCACCACCACAACCTCTCCCACATTTATAGTAGACCACCACCTCAACCTCTCCCACATTTATAGTAGACCACCACCTCAACCTCTGCTACATTTATAGCAGTAGATACGATCAAGGGCAGAACACCAATACAACCAGTTGAACATTTATATTGGCAGACATGATCAGGGGCAGACCACTAGCAACCTAATCTCCATGTATACCCCTTTATATGAACAATGTGGGGAGATCAGCATTAAAACTACTGAAACAAGCATGAATAAAACCTGCTAATTTACGTAATCATGTTGGGCATAGGAAATTTATAGTAATCTTTTAAAACCGTTAAAATGAAATAAACTATTATATACCTACTTTATTGATGTACATGTTTTTCGTAGCTTTTTTCCGATTATTTAGACATCTTCTTCCTCTGCCTTCTTAATTCAAGGGTGGAACAACATTACGTGTCTGCTTGTTATGTTTATAGTTTGCATATTTCTCCGATTTCTCCGATTTCTGACATCGTAAAAACAGATTTAAAAAATCAATTGTATAGCCCGAGTTGCCATCCCGGTAGTGTTATATGAAAATACTAGCCGTCCCGGCCAGGCCCTGCTCTGGCTTCTGTGAAAAACCTTTCTGTTAAAGACCATTACCTGTGTGTTTAGTAATCATCATAAACCCGGCATTGCCCACCCAAACCACAACCAACCAAAACAACAAAATGCAAACATAACACTAACACAATTACAAATACAAACGAAAACACAAACCTAACAACAAACCCAACCACAATCACAAACACCAATACAAAAACAAAGAAAAAACAAACAAAAAAGCAAACGAAAACAAAAACCTAACAACAAACGCAACCACAACCACAAACACCAATACGAACACAAAGAAAAAAACAAACGAAAAAGAAAACGAAAACAAACCAAATCCAAACGCAAAACCAACCACAAACACAAACCCAAAGAAAAAAACACAAACGAAAAAGCACACGAAAACAAACCAAATCCAAACGCAAAACCAACCACAAACACAAATACAAACACAAACCCAAAGAAAAAAAACACAAACGAAAACGAAAAAAGAAAGAACAAAAACGAACCAAATCAAAACGCAACCACTAACGCAAACCCAACCTAAACACAATGAAAACACAAACGCGAACATAAACGCAAAGTGCTCACAGTCTAGCCCGGGGCAGAATCGCCTGTTTCAGCTTAATACACGACTATAGTACCCCAACTTATTCATAGTCTTTTGCACTCACTTAAACGAACGTAGGTGCCAAACCAAACCAAATGAACAATTATAATACTCCAAGCTTAACCGTAAAATACCTACAACATTTGCACTTGATCAATCCCCGCTAATTATGTAATTATTTTTTTCCCAACACCAAAACAAAGTAATAAAAAGTAAATTCTTTTCCACTAATGCTATGTTTTATAAAGGGAAGTAATTGTGTTTTCCTATTTTATCAAAGGGAAGTAAGTGCTAAAGGACTAAATATAAATAATTTTCAGACATAATTAGAATTTTTCTTATTTTTAAAAAATTGTGTTTAATAAACATGCCGACAATTATTATTATCAGTTTGAAAAATGAAAATTATTTCCCAACACTTTCAATAGTAATTTTTTAACTCATACATTTAGACTATGAGCACCATAATAGTCTAACACTTAAATCCATTAAAGTATATCAACGACAAACAAACTTTTTACATACAGAATTGAGCTTTAAATATTAGATTCGAGAAAGTTTAGGGGAGACATGTCCCCACTCTGTGTCGCATCATTTATCATTTGGCATTTCATTTTCCTATTGTTGCTTTTTGTGTATTGTTTAATTTATAAAGCTTACAAACATTGTAAAGCTATCATTTGTTACTATATTACTATTATCATATATGTAAGGTACTTTGGTCCACAACGTACAAATGACCCCAATGACCCGTACTCCTTTTGTATTCATTGTATTATCACCAAATTAACACTTACAGTTGTTTCGTTAACTTTACTAACTCTTTTATGTGAACACCAATTTTTTTTATCTATAAAACTCCACTGTATCCCTACACGTGATAGCTACACGCCTACCCCCCCTAACCTGTCGGTACTTAACATTCATCTAAACATAAACACCGACTTGAACATACCAACCTTTCACCCTCCCACTAATTCGCTCACACAGCAATCTGTTCGTCAAACCCTCCCCCCCCCCCACCCACACACACTACAAATGGTAACACATCAGCAGTCAGATAACACAGCACAAAATTTGACGCTTGGCTTGCCTTAAAACACGCAGTCACCCTCTCCACGCCTCGTCAGACACAGCTACCCACTCCCCCCTCTCCCCCTCTATCCACTTACCCTCAGACATGAAAACACCACTTTCCCTTTAACTGTTCCAACGACCCCACCACCCACCCCAACATCAATTTCGAATATCTATTCATTTACTTTTTAAAGTTCTAAATCTTGTTTCTTTCCCCTCATGTTTTACACAGCAACCTTTTGAAAACTCAATGCGACCAGTACATAAATAAAAACTCTTTTAACTAGTCAACTTAATTTGTTTCCCTACATTGAAAATGCTCCACTGGCCCTTTGTCATTCTCGGAAAAATATCCTTTCCACTCCCCACCCAGACTTCTGACACGTTTATTTGACCTTCACCCCTTTTACTGCCATCTTTTGTAATTTTTGTTATAATCATATACATGACATCACGCAAATATTCATTATGTACATGTTCAAAACCTTTCGTTTTCATTTGAAACTATGTAAAAAATGTGATGTTGATGTACTTGTTTTAATTGCAAATAAAAGTTAAAAAAAAAAAAAAAATTATACAACATTTGGTTATGTTGAACCCGAAAAATAATAATTACAGACCTTAAAATATTGTAAAACATGTTACATACAGAATAGAGCTTTATATATTAGAATTCCATTAAAAAAAAAAAAAAAAAAGTTTAGGGGAGATGTATTATCTTATTACATTTCAATCAACATTAATTTGACTCCCACCCCTCAACCCCCATGTCCCCACCTTGTTTCGCACCATTTAAAATTTTTCATTCAGTTTCCTATTGAAAAATAGAAACACACGAACTCACACGCTGTATGTAAACACCACAGCGTTCAGGTCACGCAACATTGCTCCTGATGTGTGGGCCACCGCACCCAACCAATCCCCACCCCCTTTCAACCCATGCCGCTATGACCCCGCCGACCGCACCGATACAGTACAACATTCTGACATAATGGCACAGTTTTTTGTAAATTTTATTATTCTATCAATTGTTTATGCTGTCAGTCAGGACAAGTTCCTTTATTTTATACATTTGTTGTTTACACATGTATCACCTTTTTTACATAAATAGGTAATGGTTTCCCTTAATAAACCTTCTCGTATATTCTTATGGAACAGTAACCTCATTCCTGTCTCAAATTTTAAATTCGCCCCCCCCCCCCTTCTCGTTAAATTTTCAAGTGGCACCACCCTCCCTCTTAGAAATATCTGAAAGATTCCATCTTAAGTCTGATCTTTTCGTGTGTTATGCTGCTAAAACTCTGATATTGCCACAATTTACCCATCGAGGTTTCAAGAAAAAGTGGCAGGCCCTAAGGAAAAATATCGATGAGCCAACAGGAACAGTGCAGAAATAATAATTAGATTTATCTTTTACTTTCTCGTATATAGGAAGTAGCCTATAGAGAAAGTCTTGTAATCGTGCAAAAATGAAAATAGATATTTTTTGCAAATCTCGACGTTTTACACCACCCCACCGACCCCCCCCTCCCACCCCGAGTTGGAAAAATTCGCTATTCGCTATTTCCGATTTCTCAAAAACACGCAGGTGAATTTATAAAATACTAATAATATACCGCACTATTATACACATTTTGCTTCTCGTTCACTTGGTCCGCAATTCTTTTTTCTTTGAGATTCTATTCTATTTTTAAAAGTTTAAGTAATGAAAAATCATATTTTTATCCCGAGTTTTCATCCCCCGAAGTGTTATATAAGAATATTCGAGAAAGTTTAGGGGAGATCACCCCCGGTATATTTAATATGTGATATACCCAATTTTATAATGACTAAATGTGATCTTTTAAAGGTAATTTTTTAAAACTGTACCATGACTATATCTATCAAGGTTAAATAAGTTATATTGTAGAATCTTTTTTTAAATATGTATGTCTAAGATTGTGTACGATTGTTTAAGTAGGATCATATAAGGTGGTGATGTGTGAAAAGATATGTGTGTTTACAAAAATACTAAAAAAGTCAAATTCGTAAAATTTATTTTTAGAAAGACAAAATAATAATAAGAATTATATATCTTAGTATTAATAATAATTGCTACATTTATTAGATCAATTAGACAAATTAATAAATGGTATCATATTCAAATCAACCTATCTTTTGAGTGTAGTGCCATAGTTTGAGCACCAGGTCGTTCTAAGATCATTCTTTCAAACAGTCAACTCACACATATTTATACAACACAGAAAACATTTTTAAATTTTTAAACTTTTATTTCACTTAAAAAATTGAAGCATAGAAAAATATATTGATAAAACATTCTAAAGATACATCCTTGTAGCAGTTTTATAGTCAGCAACCAAGTTTTTAAAATGTCCTTTGCTGATGTTGGAGACTCATGGTGTAGGGTCATGGTGAGCCTAGGTGTTGATTCACAGATGGAAGAGTTACTGTTTTAGTCTGGTGGGTGTATGGGATGGCTTGTACTTCAAGTAAAATTTTAGTAACCTTTGCTGTTAGGGCCATGCATTGGATGGCCAAGGTTATTCATACTGGGATGGCCAGTGAGTGAGCCATATTGAGGCTGAATGTATGGGGCCATCTGAGGTTGATGGCCTGGAAAAAACTGAGAGGGTCCCACATTTTGAGATCCTCCATCATGACGTAATGTGTTGACAGGTACATGGGGGCCTACAGTTTGAGATCTGTCAATGTTTGAGGGTCTCAAATGTTGTTGTGGGAC